CACAAACGCAGAGTGCAGTTCGTATTTGCGGTGCCTGATTTCCGAGTAGCGTTCCATCTCGGCCCCTGGCAAGTTGAGACCCTTCTCGACACACTCGCCATGTAGGTCTGCCAGGAACCGACCTGATTCCTCGTCCAGGTCCGCGGGGCGCTGGTGTTTGACAGCATCGATCAAGAGGAACAACTCTAACTCTCCGTTGTCGTAGATGGACTCCCATGCTTCTTGCGCCGTCTTGACTGCTTTCGAGGCGGCCTCTCTGATCTCTGCCGAGGGAGATACGGATTGGAGAATAGACAGTGGCTCTATTTCGTAGCTTAGCTGGTTTTCGACATGGCCAGTGGGGATAATGACGTTTTCAAAAGTTGCTTCCTCAGGCTCAATTGAGGAGGTGATTTCGTATATTCCAGCTTCGGCGAGTTCCGTCATGGAGGCTGCTTTGGCAAACATTTCCTCTGGGGTGAGGTCGGATTTGGGTGGTGGGGAGACATTGTCAAAAGTCATGATGAAAGAGAAATGAGAAGGGACGAAAATACTTTTGATATTTATATTAGAGATAGCAACTGTGCCTTATTTGACTGCGGTTTTTGGCTGCACAAACTCGGTTCGCAAAAGAGAGACAACAGCCTTATATACCTACCTAATAGTTGAAATAACATCATCACCAACTACGTAACTCGCCAATTTAATCTTTATGAGTGACTTATTATCAGAGATTATACATGGATGTCAGCAATTCTTTATTTGCTGAGCTCACTGCCACGTCTTGGGCTGCAGTACTTGCTGCCTCGTGACGAGCTTCCACTGATCACGAGGTCATTCTTCATCCCAAGATCCCCACCCCATCCCTGGCAAGTGGAACAAAGCCCAACAGGAACGACGCCGACATATCTTTTGATCGTACCAATCGGGAGAATCGCAGCTTAGCTCTTGAGGCTCAGAGCTGTGGAAGTGTCTCCGCCCTTCCAACATGCACATACACGTCATGATTTTGGACACAAGCTCCTTACGTGTGTAGGATTTATGACTCTCTAGATGAGAGCCTCTGAGATGTGTGTGATGATGATGCATGAAAAGTAATCCTTGTTGTTATCAGGTCACAAGACCAATAGTGATAACCTTCATGACTGATCGTGTCCAACAGGCTGTGGTATCACCTGGTCCTGATACAAAAGTTCTTCTTCTTCGCAAATTGTCCATTTGAAATAGCTTTGGTTCTCATCTCATCGTACCATGTGGATAGAAGGCTGTCATGGCACGAGACGGATAACCAAGGTCATCATTATCATGATCAGCCTTTAGCCAACGGCGTTCTGGAAATCGTCGATAACCCTTTGCCCCGCTGATAACGTTTGCACAACTTTGTGCAAACTGAAAACGAAGTGCTCGGCCCGCAGGAAGCCCTGGGGTCAGTATGGACTCTGGAGTATGTAGTTGGAATATCACTGATCGTCTCAACCAAATGGAGGGATTTCGCCTGTTTCGACAACTCTTAACGGCCAATTCAGCAACGCTCGCCAATGGTCGGTGAAATGGGCCGCCATTGCTCGTACTTCGTGAGCCCCTGCTTCTCCAATCCACCATCTGTCCTTGTGTAAAGCCAAAAGAGCAAAATAAAACGCCAGAAAAATAGTCGCCCGAGGTTGCCCCTCTTGAACCAACTCTATAAACCTCCCTTTTACCAACATGGGAAATATAATGAGCCTTCGGAGGCCGTCATGTCTATCTCCAACTCGTGCTGTTTCGATCGCCCCGCCCAGGTAGCTCAATGTAGATTCGTATGCATCTTGGGATTCAGGATCCCAAGGCTCGCTGGCATCCCGAATCTCGTGCCTTTGTAGTAACGGTTCTAAGCCCCGTCTCTGAATTGGGTCAAATCGCATTTGCTCGTTGGATACGAGAGGGGAGATCCCAACCATCATTGCGGCAACAGACTTTTCCTTGCCGCCAGGAAGTTCATATGCTGTGGCCACAATGGCCTTGGTGCTCGCGTTCATCATTAACCACTCCACTGGTGGGGTATATGGCTGGCGTAGCCGGTCCTGTAGCAAAATGAAGGAACAGACTCGAAGGAGAGTTGAGGTCAAGCATATTGCGTCTGCAGTCTCGGGACTTATGTTTGCAATGGCTAGATTATGCTCTCGCAAACCCATGGACAGATACTTTCGGTGAGCATCGCGACTGACGAGCCCCATCAGATCGCCAACAACCTTGCAATGCAAAGCGGCAAGTGAGTACATGCAATACAACAATGCATCCGAGGTCAGTGCCAGCCTTGGAACCATGTTCACATACAGCCCCTTGGACTTATCATCAATGGCAATGGTTGTGCCGGTTGATGTTGCATATTGATACATTAACCTCGTTTCCAGAATGCGCCGCTCTCGCGACTCTGGGGGGTCAGAGAGATGTGAGTTCTCGATATTGCGGGCAATGGCGGCAGCAACGCGAGCCTCTGCAGATTCGGGGCGAAACGGGGCAGGAGAAATCACTGGCGTGGTCAGGGGCGGCACACGGTCATAAATGCACTCTGACCGATGTCGCTTGCAGTTATCACAAATTGGTTTCTGTTCATTGCACTAACGGAGAGAGGACGCGGTCAGCTTGTGGTGAATGACAGGTCTGGGTAGCCAGCCAAGCAGCATGGTATGTCTGTAATTTGATATCAGACATGTCGTGCCGCATGAGGAAGGAATAGCACTCCAGACCAGTTGACATATTAATTGATTGATGGGAAAAGCCGAATGGCAAAACATACCTTGACCCGTCTTGTCCGACACCTCTTACAGCCATACCTCGACTTTTTGTGGCTCACCTTGACACCACGATGCGACCCGCCAGACGGCACGCCTAGCGTATACTGGCTGAACATGCTTGTGTCGGCTGTTTCATCCGCCCCGGGAGTTTCAAGGTCCATACGTGCACGCTCAAGTCCGCAAGTCGGTCATGATATGGTTTCATTGGATGCCGGGACGGAGCCTGTGGCCGGCGAGAGGCTATTGCCATCGATTTCGACAATAGCGAGCCAGTAAATAGTTGGAGAATGAATGGGACGCTGGATATGGAGGAGCTGAACGGTGACAGTGTCTGGTGGAAGTTGCCCTCCGTGCTGCATCCTTCCTGCCTTCTATCTACATGCAGTATACGTACCTGTCCAGGTACAAATCGGTTCACTGGCACTGAGATCGGCATTCGCCTCGGCCGATTCCGTCGTCAACATGGAACCCGACTGGCTGCTCGAGCAGTTCACGTGTTGGAGCGGTCTCCCTTTGACTCGGGTGCTCAGAGAGCCGAGTAGTTACACTTTTGATCATTTTGCATCTGCAACATTACACTGCAGCATGTTGTACAATTCACTTTTCGTCACACGATATCCCCCCTGCCCGTGTTGGACTCGGGCATGCAAATATTAACCCAACCAATTATGTCTTGCGCCATTAACCCTGATGCCCCCAGGAAGCAATGCCTGGCCGCAGCCAGTACCAAACCAACGTCGTCAGCTTACGCACATTTTCAAGTCCATCTCGCCCGTGAGTCGTGACATAAGCATCGATGAACTGTTACATCTGGATCCCAACAGTGCCCTCAAAAGGGTCTTTACACCGGTAGTTCCAACATGCGCAATCTTGTCCCCCCCCGCATAGCCCGGATCAGATGAAGCCAACGTCAACAAAACCGCCCTCCAGACACTCGATCAAGTCCGCTTCCAACAAACCACCATAGGTCGCCATCTTATTCGCCATGCCTATCGACGCATCCAGCGAGTCTAAATCCACATGGGCCATTGCGTCTGTTTGCGATTTCTTCAACACTGTGCGCAATTCACTGCCAAAATCTATCTTCCGCTCGGTATTTCCCCAAACGATGTCAAACCCAGCATCAAGGACCCTCTGCTTCTCCTTCTCGGTAACATCTCGCATATCCACATGTACCAGGTGATTCAAATTGAGCGGCTGATGGCCCGGGACTGATTGGAACGGCTGGTTGTAGCACAACCCTGCCAGGATTGCAATTGGCATGGAGTCTCCATAGCCACTGGCGATAGTATCTGGTGTGTGGAGGTCGTCGTGTGCATCAAACCATACACATCCCAGATCCCCTCTAGAAATGCTACTAAAACCTAAACCTGCCGCGACGCCCACTGCGCTGCTGCAATTACCGGACAATACAATGGCAAACAATTCATTCCCACGAGCCTGAGAAACGAGCCTCGATGTTCGGCGGATAATTTCGAAGCATTTTGCGAGCTCGCCATTTAATTCGTCCACAGGCTCGATTTGGACTTCGTGGACTGGGAGGCCGAATCTTTGAGGGCTGGAAAGAGGCCTTGACTCTGGAGGAACAGTGGCCCTGCTCCAGGACCGATTGCTCAGGTGCCACAATGGAAGGGCGATATGATGAGTGAGATGGACTTGAATACTTGCCTACTCATACTGGGCGATGGCTTCGGTAACCAGGGTTTTGGTTGTAGATGCTATTGCATATGTTTCCAGATGATTCATGAAATAGGAACGATGAGAATGTCACGGTATGTACGCATTGGTCGTATATACATGGCTGTTATGGTGTTTCCTTCGGTATGTCACGGTTCTCTGTCGGGTACGACCAGGCACACGGTGTTTGTACAATTGGGCCTTACCTGATGCAGTGCTGGCGCGAATATTGGGATAGCTTGAAAATTAAAAAAAAAAAAAAGAAAGAAAGAAAGAAAAAACCAATACACGCCTGTGGCGTCTTTTTACTCCTCGTTGGTCGTTCTGTAATAGTCGCTATTAGGGCGCGAGTCAATGGCTCGTTCTTCCGAGGGCGAATATGCGACAATGACGAGTTCTCGAGTAGGCATTGTCCACCGACCAACTAGCAGGGGGTTGGTAGGACAAACAAACTAAAAACGTTGTACACACCGTTAATTTTCATCTCAATTCAAAAATCCAAGGCTTTCGTGCATCAACTACCTGTTCAATCCGTCATAAGTCAATGCAGTAGGCGCATCCTCCAACATCATGTACTGGGCACTTGCATCGACGGCAGCTTATCTGGCCGCCTCAAATGTCGCGACAGCAAATCCAAGCAACCACGGCCGCGGCTCCGGTCTGAAATCAGCCTCCTATCACGATGGAGCCGGGGTTTTGAAATACGTCAATCCTCTCATCGGCACACGTGGTATCATACCCGACAGCAATGGCTTCATGATCTCGAGCGTCTCTACCCCGTTCGGTACGACGAGATGGACACCTCAAACCCGAGAGAATTACATCCCTCAAGTGCCGTACTCGGATCTCGAGAGGCGAGCACATGGGTTCCAGGCAACCCATCAGCCCGATGGATGGGTGAGCAAGGCCAGATGACGATACCTCCAGGACTACTAGTTTCCGAGGATAGATTCGGACGCAGTTCCAGCAGCACGGGCTTGCGTTTCAAAAATCGGAATGAAATGAGCACTCCGTGTGTGTATAAAGTGCTACTGGATACTAACTCTATAGGGGACAAGAAGACGATTCATATTATTAGTCATGGTCCATCTGGGACACTTACAAGCTGGAACATGCCCTCCTCACTCTGTTTGCTCCGGAGCGTGTGAATTCCATGATGTGCTCGCCCCTCCGAATCTTCGACTAGTCCGGCCGCCTACGGATTTAGGCAAACATGGTTGAAACAAACATTATGATTGCTACCAACGCGGACGCCGTCACAGCAAATGCCCCTGTCCGCGGGCTCAAGGAATTCGACATCCAGAAAGCCTGGAAAGCGGTCTACGCAGACGCCTACGTCCCGCCGGAGCGAGACACCTTGCTCGTGTAGTACTTTGACAGGGAGTCCAACACGCCGCATGAAGCTAGGACTGGTCTTACGAGTTACCTCGAGCACGGCTGGGTTGACAACGAACGACAGATGGGCCGAAGCAGCCAGCCGCACTCTTGATTTTTCTCTCAACGATTTCGCTGTTTCTGTGTTGGCCACATACGCAGGGGATAATGCTTCCGCAAAAGAACTCATGAAAAACTGGCAGCGCGGAACTCTAGTGGGGACATTTATTTGCCAGAGGAGATTGGGGCTGGGCAGAATGCGACAAGTGGGTATATACGTTTGATGTCATGCACGACGCCGGCGGTTTTGGCGTCATTGTTCAGGGGCAGCAAAGCTGATATGAAGACCAAGTTGGACCAGCACTTTTCAGGTGGCCATAATATGCACAGCAATGAGCCTTCTCACCATGTGCCGTATTTACATTCAGCCATAGGACATGTCCCGAGTTCCGCCGAGAAAATACGTGACATTGCATGGACAGGGTACAACAACACTGCCGCGGGACTGAGTAGGAATGAGCATCTGGGGCAAATGAGTGCGTGGTATGTCTTCTCGGTTTTGGATTTCTATCCTTTGAGTCCTGCGAGTGATTAGTATGTTGTGGGGATCCCATTATTTTGTCAAAGTTGAGATTCGATTGCCCTTAATGTCTGGGACAGATGGTCATACACTTGTTATATCCGCACCGGTTGCCGGTACCCAAGGCAAAACCTATATGAAGAGTCCGGAGATGGACAGAAAGACGGTTGACCAGCCGCTTCTGAAACATTAGGATATTGTGAATGTCAAAAAGATTGAGTTTCATATGAGCTCTGAACCAACAAGGTGGGGGAGAAAGGAACAGTATAGGAGTGTATAGCTGTTATGTATGCGGTGTATATTCAAAGTTGATAAATACAGGCTCTAATCTTGGCACCCGGACCTATTTATCTCACCGGCTCTGAGTGCACGGCCCCCCTACGGTCTGCCGAATACTTGCCCGACAAGCCTCCCTCCTCGCAAGACTTGCATGTCGTCGTATCGCGCACCGACGACTTGTAGGCCGATGGGGAGGCCGCACTTGCCAAAAAAGCCAGGAACGTTCATGGCTGGTGCGTGGAGAATAGTCCACATTTCGCAGAAAATCTGTTGATGTTAGCTCAGCGTCTGTATACAGAGGGCAGCTGGAAGGAGACATGCCGCGGTACCCGTGTTCTCAAGACCCTCTGGCGCCTCGTCGATTGCGCTGGGTGTGATGATTATGTCGTACTGGCTGGCAATTTGGTCCCATTCTTTGCGTAGGCGAGCGATGCCGTCATGAGCCTCGAGAAGTTTCTTTTGACTGGGTACACTGGTGGACTCGACGAGGGCGACAATATCGGCGTGTAATTTGGTCTTGTCTTCAAGGTATTCTGCACAGCATGGTCAGTATGCGTAACAGGCAGAACAGGCAGAGGCTGAGGTTCACAAGGCCCGGCAGGTCCCGGCAGGATTGACGCACTTGGCAAAAATGCGGCCCTTGCCTCCTCAGCAACAACGGTTTCTCTCCACCCGGGGCAATTCCCAAACCGCTCAGGCAGTTCGACATGCTCAATCTTGGCTCCGCTCTCCGCCAGCAATCTGTGGGCTAGCTTCCATGCTGTCTGGGTACCAGATAGAGCCTCCGGCCAAATGTGAGTCTTGATGAATGCAATCCTCGCACCGATGATGGAGAGTGGGTGCAGGGGTTCAGTGAGTCGTGAGTCCAAGCGGAACAAATGTGCTAGAGACTCAAGATCGTCAACGCTTCGGGCGTAGAACCCTGGTGTATCGGCAGATGGTGAGACTATGCTGGTTCCTTCAGTCGAAACGGTACCCCAAGTCGCCTGCCGCGTGTTAGTGGAGGAAAGAGAAATCTTTGGGTGGAGGGGCGTGTATACATACTTTGAAAGCATAAACGCCGTTGAAGGACCCTGGACGAACGATGCTCCCCCCCGTTTGAGTGCCAATTGACAACGGCACCTGGAAATCTGCCACGGCAGCCGCCGAGCCTGACGAGGAACCGCCAGGTGTATGCCTGCCGTTATGTGGGTTGGCGCATGGACTGCCTTCTGTCATGGACGCAAACTCTGTTGTCGCCGTCTTGCCGAAAATGATGGCGCCGGCTGCGCGTAGAACGCTAACGCAAGCTGAGTCGGCAGCGGCGTTTCCATCCTGGGCATGTAGACGCGAGTAGTACTTGGTCGGCATGTCTGGAGGGAATCATGTTAGAGTCAGCATGGAAGTTCTACCCCAGGAATGCAGAGCCGCAAGCAGACAGGTACCTCGGGTGAGAAAAATATCCTTGATACCAACTGCGATACCATGCAACGGCCCTCTCTCATCTGGAGCTAACGCGTCCAGCTTCCTTGCCTGTTTCAGGATGGTATTCTCGTCTAGATATGCCCACGCTCTCACTTGCGGGTCTCGGTCACGTACTCTCTCGAGCAGCGCTTTGGCATAATCCTGTGCTGAAAGCTGGTTTGTGAGTATCAGCCCGGCTGCCTGCGTTGCAGATAGCTTATACAGTTCATGCTGGAATACTGCCATTGTCTTCTTGAGTGACTTCCCAGGTTCGTTTGCGAAATGATAAAATAGAAGAAAAGAAAAAGAAAACTGCAAGTTTGTAGCTTTGGTTCTCGTACAAAGTATGGTCTTCTACGGAACTTGCTTTCCTGATATCAACTCGACAGCTGGGCCCAAAAGCTCTTCTTCCCCCTCCAAAATCCAAGGCAGGAAATTGGCGAACAGGACAACGAGGGCTAATACAAGGGGCTTGCTAGGGCAGGGAACACTGCCATGGAATTGGATTGAAAAATCACAAAGGGAGCCGCCTTGCGGGAATTGGGGACTGCAACAATGCCGAGAGGTTCATCGTGCATGATATTGCGATGTCGGATATTGCTTCTGATGGAGGGGTACGGAGTACTCGTGGTATTGCAGGTCCATGTCCAACACGACAACCCATTCGACGAAGCAGCGGCTGACAGACAGTACGGGAGGTGCGGGGCCCCTGTCTCCATGCCTTCATGTCTCAGGTGTCAGGTCTGCGGGATTCCAGATGGTCGAGATGGCCGATACTTGATGCTGATGGTGCTGATTATGGGCCCACGATGTAGGGTCATCCGCCAGACTCAACCCGCATCTGGGCCTATGTTTGTTGGCGCTGATTGGCGTTTGCATGGATGGCAGTGGGCACAATTGTGTATGTATACATTCGACATCGAGCCATACTATTAGAAAATCGAGGGGGAAGTGCGCGGGGGCTGGATGCTGGGGAGCTGGATTCTGGATTCTGGATTCTGGACGGCCGGGAGGGAGAGAGAAGTTGCGTTCAATCTTGTGAGAGTAAGCAGATCGGACCAGTGCTGAGTGTCACTCGTGGTCATGTGCCTGAGGATGCAATGCGCCCTTCTTCACCCCCATCCACACTTTTTTGCCATGGACAGCATGTTGTGATATATTTTGCTGCCGGCCCCCTCCACAAATTTGAATGATCATCAGCCAAAGCCGTGCGCATCCAGTTCCTCGTTCCGCCTGTACCGCCGACCAACAATGCCGCGCGACTCACTTATGACTGGTCAAAGAGTCCGGTCAAGATCATCGACATCTCTTCCAGTTGGTCTTCCGGCGACAAATGTCCGCAATTATCCCGAATCCCGAGCTCTGCACTGAGCTGGGAATAGCCTTGTGTAACTTCTCTATCCAGCCTGTGGCCTGCCACGAATCATCCGTACCTCAAATCAGCCTCATCGGCGTATTGATATCCAGCTCTTGAATCCGGGCCACCATCTTCAAAGCATTTTTTCGGACCATATTATCGAATTTGACGCTGAAGCATGCCTCCTCGTGCCACAGAGGACCTGAAATATAATCTACACAAGTCGCCAGCCTGGAATCCGCTTTGAATACGGAAGCCATCGGCGGAAGCGTCGTCGTCGGGTTTCGTGGGGGCCCTTGATGGGATACTCTTAGCCCATTGCTCTATTGGTCCTTAGTTTGCTGAGATGCTAGCTGTCAGAGCTGACGACATCGACGAGGGGGGGAGACACCGTAGGCGATCGGGGTAGAAAATGCCAAAACATTGACCAATTCCGGCCGCCGATATCATGAGCCACGAGGTGGAGCTTGTTTATATCTTAGTGCAGAAGCAATCCCTCCAGGTTTTGAACTTGGCTGGACATTGATTCGTCAACTTCTGGATGCCGGGCCGTCTCGGAAAGTCCATACCTGAACTGACCAAAGACGTGGACCTTGAAACCTGCTTCAGTAGTTTAGGGAGCGACGTTGCACCAAAACCAAGGAGCTTGATGGAGTGCCGTGGATAGGTACTACTGGCTCCCATGCACCAAAGACCCCATAGGCAGGCAATGCGGTGTCCATCAATGAGGCACGGACTTTTTGCGTTGCAATTGGCTTGATTCTTGTTTTGACAAGTTTTAGTTGCATTGTAACACCAGAGTCAAGGATATTACAGACTGCAATCCACAAAAAAAAGGCTGTCAGAAGCTGGTCAGTTGACCCAACGATGCATTATTCACACAATATCGTTTTTACCCACCGGATAGGCAGCCCGATGACAACGCTCACTATCAAGTACGATTAGTCAAACACATGTAGTCGCGTGTGGCGTACATTCTTTGGCTTCTGATATGGCAGTAGATGTACTTCCATACGACAATTATATGTATGTAAAGCTACTTCTGCGTCGCGTTCGACAGCATGCTTCCAGCGCAAACCGAACGAATAGTGCCTCTGCAAATCTACTGGGAGAAATTGCTGATAACAAAATAAATGAGAGGTTAGTTATAATCTGCTGACCTGCAGCTGTAAATATTAGAAACACTATGCTGGCTCGCAGCTTCCCACATCTCATGAGCATAAAGCAGAATATTCATGGCCCAGAATTTCCGTTTGATGCCAGGTTTGCACAAAGTACGGGCAAGGCGGAGACTACTGTCGTTCTTCATCTCTCCTATCCCAAAGGCTAGCTGAGACCAGCACCCAACCCCTGGCAATGAAAATGGACAACAGTGCTAGCAGAATCCACCAAAGTTCGACGGTGAATTTGGTCTGTAGCCTAGACTTCCATCGATTCTGCGTCTTTTCGCGATGTGAGCAGGTAGGTGTACCGTAAATGATACATCCGATTCCAGGACGAGAGTCACACTCAATGTGTTCGCGACGTCGCTTCATCAGTAATCTGTGTAACATGCATTAATACTCCGGGTGTTAATCGTTGCAAATCTTGAACAGAAAGCATACGCTACACTTCCTCTGCAAAATCGTAGGTCGCTTCCCAGATCGCATCCCCTATCGTTGGGACACTCCAAGTGCAATTTCCGCCGCGAGAAAAGCCAGTCAATCTTCAATTCGATGCTGGTGTCAACAATGTTGTAGAAATATCTGCTGGCCTGCTTCAAGGATAGGGCGTCTGGGTAAATTAAATGGCTGGAAATTTCCAGATGTATCTCCGTTGGCAGTGACAGAAAGGAGACTTTGGACGGTTTTTCTGTTGGCGATGCGGTATGCGTGTCTTCTCGGTCGCACTGTTTCTCTTCATTGATGGGCTCATGGCAGGGCGCCAGTGGTTTGGCGCTGCTCGGCATCCCCACGGCCGGATGGCGATGCCGGAAAGAAATATCCAACGTGGATCTCAGAGACGTGCCCATGCTGATAAATGTATGCTGCATAAGAACCGGGATAATCGACTTGGTTTGCATGTTTGCTTTTTTCTTGGTTGGAAGAAACGGTTTGAGATGTAGTCGGCTGCTGCCTTTCAAAGACGCCCTTGTCGAGGACCCAGCCCTCTAAAACCCTCAGACGGTCGTCACTCGAGCAAGCTGCAAGTACATGTACTAGATTCGCTTCAGCCCAGCTCCCACCGCTTCTACATAAAATCAGAGAGGCGCAGGGCGTGACAGAAACGAGGATTGAAGGCAGAAATGCCAGTTTCCGACGAGGACACGCCATTGGCAGACTCGACTCGTATTCAATAGCTTACTTACTTAAGTAAGTAGGCTGTCGGTTTCAGCGACGCCCACCTGCAGCACTAGCCGCAGCGTACCCTGAAAATGGTCCAGCCTTGAGTGCAAGCAGAAAAAAGAAATTTCTTGTCTCTCCCATTCGCCGTGAAATTAGTTCCGTGCTTAAGCATACTGGCGTCAATACAATATGGACATGGGCTTTGGAACACGTTTGTTTCGAGGCGCGGCGTATGAACCTGGAGGTCCTGTCACCAGACCTCAAGCTACCAAGTACCTACCAGGTTTGACCCAGCCTAGGTCCCTCCTGCAAAGTCTTGTCTCGCTTCCTTCATGCCAACATTGAGCATGAAGCTTGCACACTCAGAAACATGCTTTAATGCTGGGCGAGAGACTGTTTGTCTGCATTGTCCACGAGTAAGAAAGCTCCGACTGTCCACCGTTGGAGGTGACATGGAGGTGCGCCGCTGGTCTTGATATGCGTCAGCTATTTTCAGCAGGCCACTGGTGTGCCTTGCTGGCATTGCCGGCTGGCCAATCAGCCGGGTGGTCTGTGCGTTGAGTGTTGAGGTAACGCAAGCTCAGCAAGCTGGCCGCTTTTCAGTCCATGTTCTCTATGGCAATTCACAATGCCCGAGTTCGTGACAAGGCACGTCCTACAGACGATGAAATTTGCTCCATGCCTTGATGGGAGTGCGCCGGACCAGTACCTAGTAGGAACCTAAGAGGTCAACCGGTGCAGTGGTACCAGCTTAGATATTCGCTCAGAACAGGTGCCTAGTGAATGAGAGTGCCTGCCTCGAGGCAGCACTTGGCTTCAGGCGTTAGCGGCTAGTCGAGTTGCCATAGAAGGGCTCCCTAAGTATCCAATTGTAAACACGTGATAGCGTGTTCTATCGCGGGGCAAATGACGAGACGCTACCCACTCGACTTCATCCCACTTCACGTCTCCCAGTACATCAAGGCGGCCTTACCAATCTTCCTCACACAAGGCCGCCATGCACCTCTCCGAAGGATGACATGGCTGCCCCAAACATTTTGGATACTGAAAGCGACTATGGCTCCGACATCTCTCCAGAGGACGAGTTGCTTCTACTAGAGCTTATTTCACAAAACTGCCAAAGTGCAAAAGCAAAGGGCCCTGCTCATCTCCCACCGCGCCCTGGAGGCTACGACAGTTCTAATATAGACCTACTGCCTAGTCGCATAGACATCATTGGCCATGAGAACTCCATGGTCACTGAGGGCAGTGGCACGTCCATGGCTTCGTCAACCATACCAAGCCGCAGCGAGTTGCTCGACACGGACGTCACCTATCCGGATTGTGCGTTACAAGCTTCCCGACTCTGTACACTGACACTGACTGACTGCAAAGCGGCTAGTAAGTCGAGCATTGGCTGGCATTGGTGATGACAGAGAACGGGGGGCCAAGGCCCTGGATGAACAGGGTACGGAATCAGAGGCGTCTGAGGATGATCGTTCTCCTCTCCAAAGATTCCGGTCATTTCCCAGGAGACCATTGACTGTCACCGACCTTACAGCTGGAGCCTGGTGCGAACTGCAATACTGGTATACTCTCACCAGGCTCCCCGGCGGTCGGCGGACCAAGACCCCTGCCATGAAAGCAGGCTCAATAATCCACGAGAAGCTTGAGGATGAGGTGCACACCACAACCCAGATTGACGTTTTGACAAAAGAGGATGGCTTCGCATTGAGAATGTGGAACTTCATCCAAGGTCTTAGAACCCTGCGTGAAACCGGTATGACCAGGGAGTTGGAGGTTTGGGGAATGGTCCAGGGCAATTTCGTGAATGGTGTGATTGACGAGCTAACACACGACAATCCAAACCCCGAGTTTGAAAACGAACTCGCTGAAATATTCGATCCTACCCCTGATCAAATGTCTTTACATAGCTATTTCGCCCGCAATGGAAACCCCGCTGGCGCGCTCTCGCAGCCTAAGGTGTACCTCATTGATGTCAAGACGAGAGGAAGTCGGGCTCCTGTGACGAAGGCGCTGCTGAGACCTGCAAAAATACAATTGCTGCTCTATCACCGATTTCTTTCCGACATCGCTGCAGGAAGGCTAGATTTTTTCAAGTTGTTCGGACGTTATGGGGTTGACCCTGATGATACTTTCTCTGACGGTTTCATTGCTCAGATAGGAGACCTCCACGATGAGATCTTTCAAGATACGTCATCACCCAAGGCATCTACTTTCTATGCGCATGCGGCCCAGGACTCGGAGAGCCGTGGCTCACAACAAGGGGCTGGGCAGCTACTAAAGTATCAAACACTCAGAGAATTACTGCGCCTCGTGAAAGCCGAGGTAAAGCTCACATTTCCAGAGGGGCAGAAATCAATGGGCTTGATGCTTCGAGTCCAGTACATTCATCGTGATAATGGTGAAGAGATCGATGTTCACGACTTTCCCGTTTCCAAGCAGGCATTGGACGAGTATCTGAAACGATACATGGTATGGTGGCGGGGAGAACGAAAAGCAAGCGGTGTCGACATAGAAGAAGCTTTCAAGTGTCGCACGTGCGAGTTTGCACCCGACTGCACTTGGAGGAATGCCATGGCTGAGGAGCAGATGCAAAAAGCTCGAGTACGAGAACAGGAGAGGCGTCAAGCTAGCAGACGTTCAAGGCGGGAATGAAGTGCCAATACCTACAGTACATGATAGTAGCGGAAGGTAAATATCCAAGCTTATTTGTCAAACAGCATTGAACCATCATGTGCGTCGATTTGCCACAATCAAATACCCTGGTTTCATCAGACTCGGGTGCTGAATGAGACTCGTAGACCCCGAGGCGCACACCACAGCAGGTATTAGCAGTGGTATTCCCAGATATGTCGACTGCTTGTCTACGCCACTGTGATAATAGCACGATCTGCACCGTCTTCCAATATGGGATATTCTACGTGAAGGCCCAATAACAGGGGGGACCAGCTAGGCCAAGCAATCCAAGCGGTCAGTACAATGATAACAAAATCGTGCGAACGGCGGCTGAGGAAATCGCTAGCCAGCCTCTCAGAGCTTTGGAGTGTGGTTAGATTATTTATGTAGTGTTGAGTTTTTTGTGATGTTTTTTTTTTTTTTTTTTTTTTTCAAAAAAAGTAAAAGGTGTTGGGTCAATCTAAAAGCTAACACGGTCTACACGTTCAGAGATGGGCTGTAAAGTGCTTTTAGGCTGTTGACCGGACGGCTGTCGCTAATGCGAGGTAGCGAACTAGAGGTACAACTGTAGAAACGAGTTGTGTCAGGCACCAGACTCCGTCTAAAAATGTCATTTTGCAAGGTTTGGCTGACTCATGCTATAATAAGTGTCAATCTACCCTACGACTGCTACGGTACGGAGTAGGTATTAGTAACAGTGAGGCGAGGATGTGGAACCATACCGGACTGCGAGTCCAGGTCCGCAGCCGAATGGCGTTGAAAGATGTCTGGTGGGCGTGCTGGTGGCGGTGCTGGTGGCGAACATGCCCCTCAGCGAAGCGCCAGGCACCAGTTGACAGATGCATGCGGCAACCAACCTCTCGTTTGTCAGCCCCGGCAGTGCTCCGTACTGTGGACTCGATTCTTATTGTCCGTCCTTACCTCATCAATCCGTCGACGTGGGCTGTTTCGCTCCAGTGGAAAGGCAATCCAGTGAGGCTGTCTTCTCCCACCTACCTGACCATAACTTGACCTTGCAAAATCACCAATCCACCCGCGAAGTTGAGCTTGGCGGCATCGTTAGCGACCAGAGCTTTGAATCAAAGCGTTTATCCCCGCCTTCGTCTACGTTACCTCAGATTCAGCATCTTGGTGGGGTTGAGCTCGACCCTAGGTGCTGAGTCTCTGCCTTCACCATTCCGCCTTCCGCAAGCCCAGACGCTCTGGGGAAGCGAAAGCTCTCCAACGGGGAGTCTCAGCCTAATATCAAGAGAATTATGACGGTAAGCACTTCAGTATGGGGATGGAGTCGGACTGTGTTCTTCGGCCAGCTTGATGGGCTTCCCCGCCCGAGCTCTGCTAAGGCCATTACCCGCACTGCGACCACCTGGGTCGCCATTTAGTTGACACGGCTGCCTAGCGTGCTAATTACCGTAACTCAGGGCACCAAGCTTCCCGAGGTCGATCCTGTGACCAGGATGCAGGTAGACGAGTCTGTTGTTGGCCACACCGAGATCGATGAATCCCTTTACAGCCGACAGCTCTACGTTCTCGGCCACGAGGCCATGAAGCGTATGGGCGCCTCGAATGTCCTTGTTGTTGGTCTGAAGGGTCTCGGCGTCGAGATTGCCAAGAATATCGCACTCGCAGGCGTGAAGAGTCTGACGCTCTACGACCCTGCACCCGTTCACATATCCGACCTGTCTGCGCAGTTCTTCCTTGCCCCAGAGGATGTTGGCATTCCCAGGCACGATGTGACCGCGCCGCGAGTAGCCGAGCTTAATGCTTACACCCCTGTGAAGATACACGAGTCAACTGGGTTTGTGGCCTCATGCTTTCTGGCCCTTTGCAAAGCATTTTGCTAACTGGATGGTAGCCTGGACGCCGATCTCTCTCAGTTCGACAAGTATCAGGTGGTCGTCCTGACGAACACCCCTCTTCAATCTCAAAAGACCATTGGCAATTATTGCCATTCCAAGGGCATCTATGTCATAGTGGCAGACACTTTCGGATTGTTCGGTTCGATTTTCTGTGACTTTGGCGAGAACTTCACTGTTATTGACCCGACCGGAGAGACCCCACTGAGTGGCATCGTCGCTGGAATCGATGAAGAAGGCCTCGTATCAGCATTGGACGAAACCCGACATGGTTTGGAAGACGGTGATTATGTTACATTTTCCGAGATTGAAGGGATGGAAGGTTTAAATGGAGCCGAGCCTCGAAAGATTACTGTGAAGGGACCTTACACATTCTCTATCGGCGATGTGACCGGTCTTGGTCAGTACCAACGAGGTGGCATGTACCAGCAAGTCAAAATGCCCAAACCTATTAACTTCAAGGATTTCACCACGTCTCTCAAGGAGCCGGAGTTCGTCGTGTCGGACTTCGCCAAGTTTGACCGACCTCAGCAGCTCCACATTGGCTTTCAGGCTCTTCACGCCTTTCAACTCTCCAAGGGCCGTCTTCCAGACCCAATGGATGATGAAGATGCTACAGTTCTCCTCGGGGCTGCAAGACAATTAATCAAGGAAGAGAACTTGGAGATTGAACTGGATGAGAAGTTACTGAAGGAGCTTAGCTATCAGGCACGAGGTGATTTGAGTCCAATGGCCGCCTTCTTCGGAGGTATTACTGCGCAGGAAATACTCAAGGCCGTATCTGGCAAGTTCCAACCCATCAAACAGTGGATGTACTTCGATTCCCTTGAGTCACTTCCTGCATCGACAAAGCGAAGCCCCGAAGTTTGCAAGCCACTCGGTTCACGATACGACGGCCAAATCGCTGTGTTCGGTACGGAATACCAGGAGAAGATCGCAAACTTGACCCAGTTCCTCGTTGGAGCCGGTGCCATCGGTTGTGAAATGCTCAAGAACTGGGCGATGATGGGCCTAGGCACTGGGCCCAGGGGCAAAATTTTTATTACTGATATGGATTCCATCGAAAAGAGCAACCTGAATCGCCAGTTTCTGTTCCGTGCCGACGACGTTGGCAACATGAAGAGCGACTGTGCCGCCAAAGCTGTGCAGCGAATGAATCCAGACCTCGTTGGTCACATTCAGACTTTCAAGGATCGAGTCGGCCCTGACACAGAGGGCATCTTTGATGAGGCTTTCTGGGAGAGCCTGGATGGTGTTACAAATGCGCTGGACAATGTTGAGGCCAGAACTTATGTTGATCGACGCTGCGTGTTTTTCCGCAAGCCACTTCTTGAGAGCGGTACACTTGGGACCAAAGGAAACACCCAAGTCGTTTTACCTCATCTTACCGAGTCTTATTCTTCGTCGCAAGATCCGCCCGAGAAAGAATTTCCCATGTGCACTATCCGAAGCTTCCCCAACAGAATCGAGCACACCATTGCTTGGGCCAAGGAGTACATGTTCGAAAAATGCTTCGTCAAGGCACCCCAAACTGTCAATTTGTATTTGACACAGCCCAACTTCGTGGAGACCACCCTCAAGCAAGGTGGTAATCAGAAAGAGACACTGGAAACCATCCGCAACTACCTCACAACGGAACGACCTCGTACTTTCGAAGATTGTATTGCATGGGCAAGAATGCAGTTCGAGACGGAGTTCACCAACAAGATCCAGCAGCTTCTGTACAATTTCCCCAAGGACTCTGAAACGTCGAGCGGGACACCTTTCTGGTCTGGCCCGAAGCGCGCTCCCGATGCCCTCAAGTTCGATCCCAACAACCCGACCCACTTTGGTTTTGTGGTTGCTGCTGCCAATCTCCATGCCTTCAACTTCAATATTAAACCCCCTGGAGATGACAAGAACATTTACCTGCGTGAATTGGAAAATGTGATTATTCCTGACTTCACCCCTGATGCCAATGTCAAAATCCAGGCCGATGATAAGGAACCAGTATGCCACCTTTCCCACCTTTTCCACCTTTCCTACTTTATTTGAAAAGCCGGACTAACCTTCCGCCAGGACCCCAACGCTGGTGGCAGCGAAGATGAGGACGAGCTCCAGAAAATCATTTCCAGCCTTCCTTCACCGAGCACGCTGTCAGGTTTCCAGCTGCACCCGGTTGAATTTGAAAAGGATGACGACTCCAATCACCACATCGACTTCATCACAGCCTGCAGCAACCTTCGCGCCGAAAACTACAAGATCGAGCCTGCTGATCGACACAAAACCAAATTCATTGCTGGGAAGATTATCCCGGCCATTGCCACGACGACTGCACTTGTAACTGGTCTGGTAGCCATGGAGCTGTACAAGGTTATTGACGGAAAAAATGATATTGAGCAGTACAAAAACGGATTCATTAACCTTGCTCTGCCATTTTTTGGCTTCAGTGAGCCGATTGCTAGCCCCAAGGTAGTGTACAAGGGGCCAGAGGGCAAGGTGACCCTGGACAAGATCTGGGATCGGTTCGAGATTGGGGATGTGACTTTGCAGGAGCTCTTGGACCACTTCAAGGCAAAGGGCCTAACAATTGTCATGCTTAGCTCGGGGGTTAGCCTGTTGTACGCCAGCTTCCACGCCCCGGCGAAGATGAAGGAACGCTTGGGCTGGAAGCTCAGCCAACTCGTGGAGAACATTTCAAAGAAACCAATCCCTGAACACCAGAAGGAAGTTATCTTCGAAATGGTGGCTGAGGACATGGATGAGGAGGATGCAGAGGTTCCTTACATTAAGGTCAGGGTGCGATAAACAATAACGAACTAGAACTTATGACTATGCGGCTACGGAAAGAAAATTGTACTTTTTTTAAAAACAATTTCGGTTGATATATTCCATCCATAGATGACGAATCTCTCCTTTCACGCTAGTTACAAGCTACTCTTGGGAAAATGAGGCATAATGACTAATGATGCAGCTGCATGGTCGGTGATGCGTTGTGCAATTCAGCATGACGCCTCTTGAGGATGTTCCAAAAGTGGGCACAAAAGCGCCAGCAGTTGCGAGAGGAACGGGTTAGCAATATGGCCGACAAGACAAGCGCAGGCACTAGGCCACTTTTGTCGAAGCTCTATTTTACGTCACCATTAGCAATGATGAGGGGGGCCCGCATCAACAGAATTGGATGATTAGGTCAGGATATTGTCACCAACCTCCGTAATCAGCTGAATCAGACCAGTAACTGAAGCCCGCAGGAGCAGGCTGCAGCCACCATAATCTAGACGCCTATGCACGCCTGTCCATGGCCGCCCACAGCTCTTCTACCTACCTAGGGTATATAACTGCAAGTCGTCGCCATTATTGGGAGTTGGCTGCATCAAGCGCGGACGGTCGCCAATGAAGAGAAGCATCCAGACCACCAGCTTATTGAGAAATTTGGTTTTCCAAAGCAACAACCGAGCAGTCATCACCAGCAGCAGCCCTCACTTTAGAACGCCGCAAGCTAGAGCTGCCTTCCATACAAGTCGCAGCCCCGCATTCCAGCTTCATCGCAGCATCTCGCAAGCTTCAAACTCCCACCACCCATCTTATTTCAAGTTATTAGTACAAGCTCAAACGAGAATGGTAGGTCTGCAAATTCTTCCCGATATTTCCCTTCATATACATGTACTTTCTCTATTTTGATTTTGGTTTATTTCATTTTTTAAACAATTCAGCACTAACATGCACGGCTCACAGGCCTCCTCCGGCAAGGTTACCGATTGGGTTCATCCCAATGATAAGTCTGGCGAGTTCAAGCGCCAGGTCAGCTCTTTTAGAAACTGGATCTCTCGGGAAGCAGGCGCAAAGTACCCTCCTGAGAAGGGACGATATCATCTATATGTTAGCTATGCCTGTCCTTGGGTACGTTTTTTTCTTGTTTCTCTGCTCTCCCGCAAGCTCCGATGTATATTGACGGCCCACGTTGGATTCAGGCCTGTCGTACACTAGCCGCTCGAAAGCTCAAGGGCCTCGAAGATATCATCTCGTACTCTGTGGTGCATTGGCATCTGGGCCAGAGCGGATGGCGTTTTGTAACCAAGGATGAGAAGGAGCCTGGAGAGAATGTGATACCTGATCCGATCGAGGGCCATGAAAATTTCACACACTTGAGACAGGTGTATTTTGAGTCTGATCAAGACTATTCAGGACGGTTTACCGTCCCGGTACTGTATGACAAGAAGACCAAGACGATCGTGAGCAATGAGAGTTCCGAGATTCTACGCATGTTCAGCACCGAGGTACGTTACTATGCCAGTGATGCGGTTTGCCTCGAACAAGTCAACAATATGCAGGGCACTGACTATCTCTCAACAGTTTGATGATGTCATTGAAGAAAAGTACCGCGCGATTTCCCTGTATCCCGAAAGCCTGCGCTCTCAAATCGAAGAAACCAATACTTGGCACTACGACCTCATCAACAATGGCGTGTACAAGTCTGGTTTCGCAACCACATCTGAGGCCTATGAGCACAACGTCATTGCTCTATTCGAAGCGCTGGACAAGGCCGAGAAGCACTTGCGCGAACAAAAGGACGGGCCGTACTATTTTGGAAAGAATATTACAGAGACCGACATTAGGCTGTACGTCACCCTAGTTCGCTTCGACCCCGTCTACGTCCAGCACTTCAAGTGCAATATCCGCGATATTCGCTCAGGATATCCGGCTCTGCACAAGTGGATGCGTAACTTGTACTGGAACCATGCTGCGTTCAGGGATACCACGCAGTTTGAGCACATCAAGTGGCACTATACACGGAGCCACACACAGATTAACCCCTTTGCGATTACGCCTGTCGGGCCGTTGCCACATATTATGAAGTTGGATGAAGAGGTTCCTGCCGTCGCGGCGAAGATTTAAAGATTGGTGGAGTATAAGTCATGTGGATCCGGGAATGATTACAATGTTTGGTAGTTTTGACAAATGTTCCATCTATTTAGTAATGCACAGATTGAAATTAAAGGTCTACGTTTTGTCTGCTTGCCTGCTAACCTGCTTTGACCAGGTCTGACCGCCATGCCAGCCATCCACATTCGGCCCATTGAGCCATGGACTATGCTATGGGCAGGGTTGCACGCATATGGCCACAGGATAACACATGGGGTTGGTTGCTTGTAACTCATGATCGCCCAAGCCGACAATGTCATTGGTGTCAACCCTGCCTGGCAATGTGACGAGATATCTCGGACTCGAGAGTGCCGAAAGCAACACACTTGGCAAAGCGCCGAACAGAACGGGGCGTCTTATGTAGTATTTGCAAGATGGCTCAATGTCCGGACTAGAGTGCCCAGGCGAGGCGCAGAGTTCAACCTCGTGCTGGAACCTCACGTCGAAAAGACTTTTGGCATCAATTTGGACGCGAGTTCCACCAGACCACGGCTCCCAAGGCTCCTTGAGCCCCAAAGCACATGTATCTTTTAGCCGTGCCTTCTCAGTGATAGTACTTCCATCCAAAGCTCAGCTAGATTTTCCGGCCTCCGACCCCATGCTTGTGCGCTCCCTGATGCACACCAGCCCAGCCCAACTTGCCCAGGTGACACGGGGCCAGAGGGCAGAAGGGCACGGCGCCAGCCACACTTGACTCGCCTCGAGTTGGACTCGAGTTTCTTCAGACCACACACACAAGAAGCTGACCACTCCGACCAAGCCCTCGTACCTCTCAAAGACCTCATTCGCATTTCTCCCAGTACGAATCCACCAAATCTCCTCATTCCGCTCCGTCGCACAAACATCTTCCCCCACAACTTCTTCAAGCTCTACCTCCCAATTTACAACACCTGAATCACGCTTGTTCTATCTATCGATACCGTCTCCCCTCCCGCAAACTGCAATACTTACCTCCCTCGCGCCTTGGTTGACCAGGTCCCATTTCCCGCCTCCCTCGCCCAACATTTACTACGACTCCACCGCATCGCACCATTGATCCCGCCTCGTCAATAGCTCCGACTACGCAGCCTCTTCGCCCTTGTAGTCCCTTCGCGTCGATCACATCGCCGACTCCAACAGCTTCGCATTTATTCGATTTATCTACTCAGCGGTCTGCGTGTTTTGCCGCCGCGCGTATCAAAGTCGGAACCCGTCACACCGCTGAACCCATAGTCTTTGAATTCTGCGGCGTAAAGGTGGCCGTTTGTCAGATGGGCATCACAGCCCTGCCCCCCTGATATGGCCACTCGATACTCAGCAGACTTTCTGCTGCATTTGCGGGAATCACCGCTATGTACCAGACCAGCTAATCTTCCTCCCGCAGAGGAGTGGATGGGGTGAGTCCCTCCATGACCTTCACTTGGACTTCCACCGCGAGCTATTGTCACTACGTAGACAAACCTTCGTTAACCCGCTACTCTAGCCAAACGCTCGAACAACTTCAAAGGCAAAACGCAAAACCAAGCAACGACAGACCGAGAACCAACGATTTATCACTCCTTGATCAGGCCAATAGACGGCCGGGTTTGGATCGTCATGTCGCCCGAAATAGTGCAAGTCCGTGCTCTCTAGCCGAAATTCGCTCTATCCTTTCAATGTGCTGACAATTGGGACTCAACTCCTAAGAAGACCCAGATGATATCGTCTTTGGCCCTCCTCGCATGGCCTTCTCCTCTGCTCGAGGAAACAAGGCCGTGGAAAGTGATAAGAGCGGTAGAGATTCTGATTCTCCAGGCCGCATAACCTTTCGAAATCGAGGCGACAATGATGGAGATCGTTTTCGTGACGGCCGGTCCAACCCCGCCAGACGTCGTGGCGATGGCGACCAAGATAGCGACGGCTGGAACATGGTAAAGCCTCGCAAGAGCTTCGGTGCTGAAGGTGCTGAGCGATTTCACGGCAAGATGGGCGGCAATTTTCGCGAAGACCGACGTCCAACAAGAGACACCAACAACAGCAGCAAGGATGATCGTGAGAGTGCCCGAGAACGTCCCGGTCGTCCCTTCGACGGCTTCACCCGAGATAAGGATGCTGCAGATACCGAGGGTCGACCACCTCGAAACGGGCTCAACAGAAATAAGACCGACAACTGGCGAACGACGGAAAGCAATGAGGCCCCTCCCATGCCAGAGAAACGCGATCGTGACCGAACGAAGAGTTGGAGGGATAGAGACCGTGATACCGAGCCCTCAGACGACCGCGGTGCGGGTCGAAACAATGACCGTCGCTGGGGTCGTGACCGAGATCAGCGAAACGAACGTGAACCTGAATGGCTTGACGAGCCAGCCGATGCTCGAGAGGCGCACACGCAGCAGGATTTCCAGAAGTGGATGGAACAGATGAAGAAAGCTAAGAGCGGATCATCCTCCAATGCCAAAGCAACGGATACTCCTGCCGAACCTCCCAAACCCTCCCTGCCCGTTGCCCCTGTTGAGACCGGTCCGGACAAGTTCTTCCTGGCCTTTGGTGGAACAACCGCTAGCACAGACGTGACCTCGCCAAGCGAACCAAAAGACGCGGCATCCTCCAAGTCAAAAACCAGCGGGAAGTCCTCTCGATTCACCTCATTCTTCTCGCAGCCGCAAGGAGACTCTCGACCTCGAACAGAAGCGTCGACGCCACTGACAGGGCCTCCTGTAAACGGACCAGGTTCGGCCGCTGGATCGGCCCCGGCTCCTCCTGGTGTACTTGCTGCGCTTCTTGGCTCTGTACCAAGTCAGGGAGCAGCACCTTCTGGTGCTCCAGATGAAGAACGACAAGCTTTCCAGTCTTTGCTTGCAAAGCTACAAAAGCAATCTGTGAGCGCCACTCCGCCTGGTCCTTCTCCCTTTGCGGCTCCTCCCCAGAGCAATCCCCTGGATAACAAGAAGTCCATGGGCTCTCCAGAACCTCTCCATCAATATGGGGGTGGTCCTAGAGACACCTCTCTCGGCCGCCCGCCATCCCAACAGCCTCACCAGGAGATCCTTGCGCCGCGTCCACAGCAGTCTGCTCGACCTGAGCAGCTTCTTCAAGATCTTGCTGGACACCATCAGCGTGTTTCCAGCCAAGGGTCTACCAATCGAGCTGAGCCACATACCACTCGCAACAATAGCAATACGGAGTTCCTGATGAATTTGATGAGAATGGCACCAGAAGCTCATCGACCTGACCAGGGCCGTGTCGCCTCCCAATCCCAACCTCAGATTCAAAAGCATTCGCCGTTGCCTCCTTTTAATGACCGAGAACAGGAGTTTCCCGGACGGGAGAACCGAAACAACGAGAGGGCATTGCGTCCACAGCCTCCTCCAGGGTTTCCTATGGACGAATCGTTCCCCGGCCTTGAGCGGGAGTCGCGACAAGCTCAGCCAACCCAGATCCTACAGAGACCCCCGCCACCTGGACTGGATCAGATGCCGCCAAATTGGATGGCTGGTGCAGGACAGATGCCACCTCCCCAACAGAGAGGAGGTCCGATGCTTCCACCTCCTGGGCTTGCCGGTGGTCTTAGTGGTCCTGGCGGTCCCAACCGCAACATGCCTATGCCGCCAATGTTTCCCCCCAACTTTCCGCATGGTGCAATGCCCCCTCCACCGCCAGAGGCCATGGGTGGAATGCCTCCGAGGAATATGCCGCCTCCCCCTCCTGGGTTCTTCAGCGGTCCGCCGCCGCATGGCTTCTTGCCTCCTGGACTAGCCGGGTTTAACGGACCTCCTCCCGGGCCCGAGGGTTTCGGTGGCCCTCCATTCGAAACTCGAGGAATGCCGCCCTCTGCAGGCAACAACGGTCGAGGCGCCGCTTACGGCCGCCCATAGACCACTGCACAAAATCAAGTGCTTATTCCGTGATCCGCCACGCCACGCTTGGAGCTTTTGCGCGCTTTTCACAACATGTTTTTATGTCGAATTTTATTGGCGATGAATTGCAACGGAGGTCCAGACTACATTACTGCAAAACAATAGCCCTAATGGTAGCGTTTAGTAGGCCGTGTGGCCCTCCCGCCAAATTTATATTTTTTTTTTTTTTTTTTTAATTTCTCCTAGTTTTTCATCTGCTCGAGGCGAGGAGCTCCCCTCTGAAACATCCTTGGAGGATTATCTCTTGCAAAGAAACAAATCACTAGCTTTTTTATGATTATGTGTAAAAATGGCGACAAAGGCAGGGAGTTGTGTAAATCGGCTGACTGGTTTCTTCTCGAGGGTTTGTGAACAGGGAGCACAGAGCACGGGTGGTGTGGGTTGGTACGGATTCTGGCAATGGGATGGTGTGACGGTACTGGCATTCACTAGCCCCCCGAAATTTTTATTTTTTTTTTTTTTTTTTTCAATTGTCCTACGTTTTTCATCTGCTCGAGGCGAGGAGCTCCCCTCTGAAACATCCTTGGAGGATTATCTCTTGCAAAGAAACAAATCACTAGCTTTTTTATGATTATGTGTAAAAATGGCGACAAAGGCAGGGAGTTGTGTAAATCGGCTGACTGGTTTCTTCTCGAGGGTTTGTGAACAGGGAGCACAGAGCACGGGTGGTGTGGGTTGGTACGGATTCTGGCAATGGGATGGTGTGACGGTACTGGCATTCACTAGGGTTCGGTAGTTGGCGTGTAGTTGGCAGCCACGAAATGCAGAATTTGGAAACTTTGCTTGGCGTCGCGAATGTGAATGGTTTTTGGTGGGAGCCCGGGTGAATGAGGTTGGAAGTTGACATCCAATGTGACGGGCCTTTTCTTTTCTCCCTCTGCCCTCCATTTCGCCATTTGGGTGGAAGCAGCCCATGGCCATAGCGTACATGCTCATGATCAATGGCAAGGCCTCAGTAAATGCCAAGTGCGGTGTTGCCACCCTTCTCAAGCATCCAGGTGCATATTTTTTGATGTTGGAATATACGTAGACAAGCATCATTCTTCGCTACTTCAATTACAATAATTATCCTATTGTACTTCTACGCGCACTACTACAATCGTCCCATGCAAGCACTACCCTAGCGCCAGTCATGCATGTCTGCCCAACAGATATCCGTGTACAATCCCACTGCGTTCAGCTAGCTAGTCCCGTGATGGGATCTAGTTCTTGCGATCGAGCCTTCTTCTCCGCAAAGAATTCTATTTCTTTATGCCCAGGAAGTTTCTTTTCTTCTTCTCTTTGGGTGGCTTCCCCTCCGGCTTGGCGGGAGGAGCGCCATTGGAGTTTAGGTTGAGGCCGGACATGGAGGACACGGGCGGTACGGGCGGTAAGGGTGCTCCTCCAGGGGGCGCGACTGGGCGGCCCGGGAGGCCACCAGTTGGTGGTGGTGCTCGTCTTGGATTACCAGCCATACTAGGGCCAGCGCCGGGGGTTGGCTGCTCGTGAGGCGGTGGTGGTGGACGTTCAAACAAGTGAGCTGGGGCACGGGGCTTGGGTCGTTCCATGGGTATATCGAGTTGGCGCTTGTCGCGGCTTAGGTCGGCGACTTGTCGGATGAAGAACTTGGGGGTTAGCATGTGAGAGGTGGCGAGGACGATGTCGCGGCTCTTTTCGCGGCCGACTTCGTAGCAGACGCGGCTTTCCGAGTACGTGGCGCCGCCGGCCATAAAGACGATGATCCTTTGGCGGTTTTCCGGTGGTCGGCGGCCGGCGGCGGCCCAGTTTGGTCGCCCGGCACGGAGAGATCCGCCCTGTGCTGCAAGGAGGTCTTCATTTGGGTCTGAGGGTGGTTTGACATAAGGGAAAATGGTTTGATCTAGCGTTCCCTTGGTGAGCTCATCGAGTACGGACTTGAGGACCGGTTCGAATCGAGAAAGGGCATAGTCTTCGTTTGGTTGAAAGGCCTTGGGATCCTTGGGGAACAAGGGCAGAGGCTGCTGTCGCGGCTCCTTAAGGGTATATGATGTTTTGCCTCCTAGGAGCTCCATATTGGCAATGACTTCACCATCTTGGGGCGGTAGAGACGCATGAAGGAGCAGCTTCTTGGCGTCTTCTGTAATGACCCCGCCTCTGTAAAGGATATATATTACAATCAAACGCAGGCGATCGGTTGGTAGTACTGCCTCGTCGTCTAATAAACCCACAACCGTTTCAAGGATATTTTTGGGCTTCCTGTAGTCCTCGTCTAGGCCCGTTGACATTGTTTGCTCGGCGGACGCCAGATCTGGAAGTTTGTGGTTCTGGAACGCGTTCATGCATTCTTGGGCCATGGTAAGGTGTAGTGAATATGCAGATTTCATTTCTTGAAATTGGGGGAGACCTAAAAACATCTCTCTGATGGTGTTGAGACTCGGAGCGTCTCCGTTCCCTGTGTCTTTGGTAAATTGGGGGTTCTCGTCGATGAACTTTTGAAAATCACCCATGAGCTTGTCAATGGTATCTTTCATGTGCCTATGTCGATTGTCGACCCAAATCTTATCATTATCGCTGAGTTCCACGTCCTTCTCTTGCTCGTCCTTGGTGCCGGCGTTTATTGTGGTATGAAACGTCACCCTGTCACCATCTTTGATGGGTAGCAGGTCGTGCGCCATGGCTTGGTAGGTAAATTCGTGCAGCAATGGTGCCATAAGATCCATTGAGCGATCAGTGATTATGAGCGTTGAGGGCGGTCGGTTCGACGGTGGCGGGTATTCGTTCTTGTGCCACTCGGCGTAGACGTCTAGTTCTTCTTGTACAAATCTAGCCAGGTGAGAAGAAAGAACCGAAGCTTCGTGAAAGGCGGCGGTCGGTCGATAATATCGGATCTTGGGGTATTCTCCTAGAGTAATGCAAACACCAGCAATCTAGCGGCCTCAGCAATTGTGATCACGGCTCAAATGGAGATAGGAACATGGAGTATGATTACCCTTTGCGCCAGTATTCGCATGTGCTTTGGAATCAAGTTGTTGCAAGCGGGATGATAAAGAATGGGAAAGCTCCAAGGATCTCTAAATGAAACGAGGTGCGATTCGCGAGGATAAAAGTCAATGAGGAGGGTTTTGGGGTTTGCTACAGCCCTTGATCCTGGTCTTTGTTGTTGCGACTGCACCATCAGGCTTCCAACGCCAGGAAACTCGTTAATCTTGCGGCTCAGCTTAGGATCCAACAAGCTTGTCCATATCAAGTATGCTCGTCCGTACTGCCTCCTGTCGAAGTCGGCAAGGAGACAATCAATAATGTGCGGCTCCGGGGTAAGAAAATAGATGGCCTCCATGTCAGGGGTCGGCTCTCGCCGCTCCTCGATCCGTTCGATGGCTGCCGAGGTTAGTTGGCGGATGCTCTGGTTGACAAATCGGGGCCTGGGCTAAACTGACTGGCTACAGAGCTACTGAGAATATCATCCTCTTTGACAGAGTTATAAATGAGTTTCTCCGAGGCCTCGTCGACAATGAGACATTTCCACTGGTTGAACCGCCATATATTAGCGCGCGTGCTGTTATCGAGCACGAAAAGGGGGGAGAAGGAGGGCAGTCTTGGGCATTACGTCTTCTTGGGTACGATTCCGGATCTCTTGCAGGATGGCTGCGGCACGGGCATTAGTCGCAATCCAAGTCGAAACAGCTTCGGCGCAACCGGTCTATGACATACCATCATGATGCTCCTGGGTCGCCGAGAACCCCATGGTGGGCAGCAGGAGAGCTCCTCTGCTCTCGTCGCGGACAGCTCAGACCGGGGGTGTTGCTCTAGGAAGGATGGTCTGGAGGGAAGAAGACCGGATGACGGCGCCAGAGAGCGATGAGATGTTCGGTGTAGGTCCACAGCTATGTGCAGCCAAGGGTGACAAGTCGCTCTGTCGCCGGTCCGTATGTGAAATGGTGAAAGGTTGGAGGCAAGAGCTGGTCTGGTAGAGACGGTGTGGTGGCGTTTTCAATGTTGGTGTTTTGGCGGGGTTGTCAAGGACTTGAGGACGCGAGGACCAAGGACCAGGAGAGAGAGAGTTCCATTTCACCAGACGGTCAAGTGGTTGTCGCAGGATGCCGGCCTGGAACAAGGCCCCACGACATGCAAAGCACCAAGTAACCAAGTCGAGCCGTTTCCTGAGACGCACGGGGAACTCGGACCTTGAGCTTGTGCATGCGGCCGCATGCCTGAGAAGACTCGGTGCCTACTTTAGCATGGCGCCGGTGGCACCCGTGAGTCAAGGCCGCCGGTGAGTCGTCCATCAGGTTCATGGGCAAATGGTTTCCAGATGCCATGTCCTTGGACTTTGGTGGGCTCGAGGCGACAATAGCACCCTTCATTGAACATTGAATGTGCGCAGGTGCGTTTATTGTAGCGGCCTTGTTTTCTTACAGTACCTTGAGGATATCTTGTTAGTAACAGGTTAATTTTACATTATAATTTTTATTATAATATATTAGGTTTCTTTCTTTTTTTTTCCTTTTTTTTTGGTTGAAATTTAATACAAATAATAATATCGATTTAATTGTGGCCAATCTAGATCTGGAGCGTGCAGCCCTTGAAGCACGACTCACGAGCATCCACGAGGTCGTTGGAAGGAAACGTAAAGCACGTCCAAGTGCGTCAACTCTGTCGTGTCGAATGAAGCCCTGTCTCTCCAGCTAAAATTATCCTCTGCATGCAATAAGACAAATGTACTTGGAATACAAACGACCCTGTTCTTTATCTGCTCTTCGTTTTATTGAGTCTTGCTCCACTCATTAGTTGACGACGTACCATGCATGCATTCATTCATTCATTGTCCATTTTCCGTCGCAGATAACTCTCCACGTCAACTCTGCCATAGATTTCTGCCTGAAGCCGTTCCGCCCTTTGTTTCTCCTTTGCCATAGCCTCCTTTAGTTCCTTGCCCGTCAACTTGCGGGGCGGTGGCTCCCTGGGCTCCTGTTTCTGGCTCTCGAGTAATTCGGCCGCACCGATGCCCAGATTATCATCCTTTGCCTTTGTCTTGATGGGATATCGCACTCCCTCGCCTTCCACGCCCAAACCACGTCTCGCATCCGGGTCCCACCCTTGCGACTTCAGGGCTCGCAAGCCCATCCGTGACCGGTCCAGTGCCGACGGTGGATGTGAGTGAGGCATGCTTACCTGATGAGCCAGTGATGCTCCATGTTCCTTCAATGACGTGGTAATGGGAAGAGAACAGACTGGGCATATGTCTGGTTCGCCTTCGTTGCTTGGTCCTGGTTGGGGGCTGGCTGTTGTCGTTGCCGGCGCAGAAGCAGAGCTGACTTGACCATCGCCCAAAACTATGCTCGCATACAAGTCGCCAATGGCAGTCGCTGCTCGGGGCTTTGGGACAGCTGCTTTGCCGTCGTCTGATTCCGTGGCGCGCACAAACTCGATCTTCTTGCGCTTCAAACCAGACCCAAAGGGCTTCTTGTGGTGCAGCGGAATCTCGTCATCTTCAGAGTCGTCTCTCGGCCGGCGCATGACAGGGCAAAAACACCAAACCCGTTTGTGACCAGACACTAGATCCTTTCGGCAGGTCCCGTCGCCACGACTCTGGTGCGACTTTGTGTGTCTGAAGGAGGGACAGATCTATGACAATCATGGGTCGTGCCACTGGGAGCCTGAATCGAAAGCACGAGTCTCTACTGCAAGTTGCGCCCCACTTCGACTCTTCGACTCTCTTACCCTGGAGTTCTCGGACGGATGTACCTTGGTCTAGCAAACAACTTGTCCTGAACTAACAACCGCTCAAACAACTTACAAAAGCACGCTTGGGCGTTGAGAAGTTTTCAGTCGCCGGACCGGCCGCTTCACCACTATCCAGGGAGATAGATACTCATCCGGACTCGCAGATGACCAACCGATCATGGGTAAGAGGAAGAGCTGGCCAAGCCACATCCAAATCGTTCATCTTCGGCGACAGTCCAATACTCTGGAACTTACTGGACAAAGGCATTGTTGATTGATCACAACATGTCAATTTATTCAACTTCCCGAGAATTCCGTCCAGTTTCGGTGATTTGAAGCGGCTCAGTGATATCTTGGACCACTATTCTAACGATTTACATGGCATGATCTGCCAAAACGCAGCAAAATACGCCTATGTTTTCTCACCTAGATCCTGTCGCCGACTTGACGTTTCGCGAACGATATTCTTTTGGAAGGTGACCACGTCCTCGACAAAACTCTGTACTTTGCCAAGCTGGATTATCTACATCGAAACTGGCGGCCTTTGAGGATAAACGTCCAAAGGCGTCTGAGACGAATTTGGGTGCCGATCCTCTTTGTTTGGCCCTGCTTTTGCTTGCCGCTCAGTATGCCGAGGTGACGAAGGTGATGTATTATAAAACATGGAACTCTGGAGAACCATTTTGACATGTTTGTTTCGATTGACGTATCAGTTTTCTGTCGTGCTATGACGCTGTGAGCAGTAATATCCAGCTCAGGCCGCGGCCTGGCCAAATTTGGAGTTTGGAGTCTGGTTTATCAATACACAGGTGCATCCAAATCTAACGTATAGTCGTGGCGCCACTTGACGCCGGGGATCGACATATAACATAAGTTCTGCTCATGTTAATTACGCAGTCTGTCTGTCTTTTGCAAAATTAGCAACTGCAAAGTCATTGCTACTTCTCTACCTAGGTACTTATACAATGGAGAGCATCAAAGACTTCCCTCTTGATAGTTGGAGTAAGCCCTCTTCCAATCTGATAGACATCAAACAGCATCTAACATACTCTTAGTCCATGAGCAAGGTGTATGTTTTTGATATTTGACGACTGTTGTGAAGCTTGAAGCAAACTTCTGACAAATTGCAACCAAAGTGCAAGGTTACCCTTCACGGTGTGTTGCCTAGGGAAACCTTCGATTGCCATTCATTCTGACAAGGAATAGATTTTTGTGCCAAGACTCTCTCAATTGCTGAATAACGCCAGCTACCAGCCACGCCCGGCGCTGACGCCCTTGACCCTGATCTCAAGCTCGATTATGGCCCTTTTGAAGGCTCGACTAAGTTGCGCACGCGCATTGCCGAGCTTCACTCAACGCCCGAGGTGCCACTGACGGCAGAAAATGTCATTGTCACGCCGGGTTCAATTCTAGCTAATTACCTCGTACTGCAGACCTTGTGTAAGAAATGTGATCATGTCATTTGCCAATATCCTGCATATGGGCAACTGTATCTTTTGCCGAGACATCACGGGGTAGATATTAACCTGTGGGCCATGGGAGAGGACCTGAACTGGCCGCTAAATATTGACAACTTGGAGCGGATGATTGGGCCGAATACCAAATCTATCATTCTGAAGTATGTGTTCCAAGTCTTCTCCTATTATGAGTTGCTGCTAATGAAGCGCAAGTAATCCAAATAACCCAATTGAAACAACTCTTCCCAAATCTTTCCTTGAGAAGGTCGTGGCATTAGCCAAAAGATTCAGCGTTGCCATCTTCTGCGACGAGGTCTTCACTCCCCTATTCCATACGGACGATCCAGCACCGCCACCAGTTGTGTCCCTGGGATATGAGAATTCCGTCTCGACAGGCTCCCTGTCCAAGGCATATGGACTTCCTTGTGTGCGAGTAGTATGGGTTATATCCACAAACGCTGCCCTTCTGCGCAAAGTACTCATAGCAAGAGATTACACCACAATTTCTGTCTCACGACTGGACTATGGCGTCGCGGCACACGCACTTGGTTCTGATGTGCGTCCGAATCTTTTGAAGCGTGACCTGGCCCTGTGTAGGGAAGGCAATACCCTGCTTGACGAATTTGTGCGGCGCAACAAACGGTGCCGATGGACCAAGCCTCAAGGCGGAGGCACGGGGTCCATACAGATTCGGGACAACAACGGGGAGGCTGTTGACGACTTTGAGTTTGGACTTCAGGTTGCCAAGGAGCAGAGCTTGTTAGTAGTTTCGTGTAGGTTTTGTTTCCCGGATGAAGGAACGAACGACTTCAGGGGGTATCTGAGGTTTTCGCTTGGAGACCCTGATGTTTTGAGAGAGGGCTTACCTCTTTTGCAGAAGGCTTTGACGGAGTGAGTTGTGATTTATATGCGACAAGATGCAATCCTCTCAGGCCGTTCCCCAATATTGTATGAATGCGTCGGGCGCCTGCCCAGGTAGGTAGGTACCGTTGAATTGGCGAAATGGTACTTGATTCTCATTTCATGATGTCTGGTAGTCGTAGAATATTGGTCTTTTGCAACAGACAGTCATGCCGGACGGTTCAAATGCTGGCATCAGGTGGCAGGTGCCAACCAGCTGTCGGCCTCAGCTGGCAAGACGTTTGTTTACCGGCTCTGGCAACACGCTGCACTTGATTCTTTATAAATTAAGACTAGAAATCGAGTCCAATTGACCATCGAACCCTCGCAATAGCCAATAGCTCGTGCGTCGCGCCCGATTCCTCGATTTGCTTCAAGTTGTGCATGACTTCTTGAATCCCAGGTATGCATGGAGACAATCACAGCACTCTCTGTATCCACACACCTTGGTATTTATAATTATTGTTAGAACACCCATGATGAATGATCCTTTTCAGGACCATGGTCGCAACATCTCGTCGCTGCGGCTAGAAATAGAAGATCGTATTCGCTCAAGACTCCATGGCTTCTACTTCGCCGCTAATGACACCATTCTGGGGAGTAAGCACGATGATGAGGCTCTTATAAAAGAATTGTGTCCTGAAAATGCAGGAAACAACATAACTTTGGATGTGACCAACTTTATCCTAAGAACCCTCGTAGCATGTGGCCGGAAGTGGCATATGTTACACGACTTTGGCCCATTGCGTTTCTGGAACGAAGTGACCACGCTGGGCGGAAGGAACTCAAATATCCATATTCGGCCCGTGAACACTCGGAACCTCATTACGGCTCTAATCAAAGCACGTCAAAGATATGTTCTACGACAGAGTGCCATATATCCCGACTTCGTTATGGAAAACGATCTGAAGCCTGGCAGCGACACGGCTGCACAGGCCATTCTCGAACGCGTTTTGCATTTGGAAGACGCAACCACATTCTCTGGGGACGTTTTCAGGAGCCCACTTTGTAGTGAGTCAGAGAAGCGAGACTTGCTAAAGCATGCTATAAGTTACGGCCCGGTGAAGCAGATCTCCGGCAAGAGATATCAACTTGCCCAGGGAGCTCCCCAGAATCTACATCCCATATCGGATCTAGCCCGAAGGTCAGCAACTTTGGACTCGAGGGGTTTTGTGGAACAGCTGGCAGTTAGTCCAACATCCCCCACAGAAGGGGTTGACAACATCACAGCGCCAAAGTCGGTCCCTTCCAAACGGACATCGACGCCGACCCAAAGTCATGACGTTGACTTACCCCGTACCGCTAGCGGTAGAAGGGGAAAGTCGAGATGTTTGTTTGTAACGCCCACCCGGTGTAAAAGACATGTTAGGGGAAAAGAACCATCATTGTTAGATACGAGCAGTGATAAGAGCACAAAACAGAGCAAGAAGAGTCAAGACTAGCGTCAAGTCTGATACACGAGAATCGGCGGCCGCACCACACTCGCCGACAATTGCGCAATATCCGAAGAGCCCGTCCAGGGTTCGATCGGAGACATAGTTGGAAGGTTGCCCGCCATGTTCTTGGTATTGCATACGATGGCTGCCTACCCCTAATGCGGCTCGTTGCAATCGTCAGCGAGGTCGACGTGACGGCGATCGGTTCCTGTGCCCACGGTGTCTAACCAAGTTATAGATATATTTATAGTACCAAAGACGTTGAATGGATTATTTGAGATAGCTTCTACCGCACCGGCTCAATGAATTCTCTTATACAGTGCTGTTTGTGCTGGAAAAATCAACGCTGGTTCAATTTGGCTTCTGAAAAACACTCACTACTGCGATGTATGTCTCTATTGACCAAGTAGCCACATGCATAAAGGACCGAGTAACTAGCCAAGTATACGGAGCCAGCAGGAAATTTTGACTCATAACTCTGTGCTTGCGGCCCAGATTGCGACTCTAAGGGCGTGCGTCGCATCTGTACCTGATGGAAAATCCGGGTCAGGTCAAGACCACGTGCTCGAAATTCTGTCACCCTTTACCTTGCACGAGAACAGCCCACGCGTCATATTGTGCGTGGGAGATAATCAGCCGGCGGGTGATTCGCCTGTGACCTCGATGTTGGCAGAATGTTGGAATAAGCCAACAATTAGACTTAATAACTGGCCCCACGTGCTTATGTTTAGCCGACGAAACCACACCAACTTACATATAACCAGGCCAATGAAAGTGACTCAATTATGAACTACGAGGTGGATGTTGCATGACGAACTGCCCAGAACACGCAACGTTAGCAACTCTCCGCAGTTACTAGTGTCTGTGAAAGAAAAATTTCCCGGAAGACTGAACTGGACTCGCGGACTTGATGACCAAGTCCATGGCCTTTCCCTCTGACGTCCGTGGCCAATTGGGGACGAAGCGATGTGCACGTTGGGCATGTTCCTGCCGATCATTTCTCAAATCTTGCAAACATTGAAGGCGCCATGATACTACCACGGGCTGATCTTGTAGACCACGTCAAACATCTACATTTGCAGACCGAGCCGTCTCCTCTGGTCCCGCCGAGAGAGGAGCAGTAATCCGAGGTCGCGTGTGCCAGAGACGGACTGACGCGTGCGGTTTTGAAATACGCGGAAATTACGCGGAAACATGCATGCATCCGGGGCATTCCGTTGGATGATGCGACCTTTCCATGTAGGACGGGGTACGGGGTTGTGGGGAGAATGCATGAAAGGAGATGAGATGGTGATTTCTGGTTGATAGGGGCTGAGAACTTGAGAAGAGGGAATTGGACCAGATATAACTATGCTGCTCCTCCTCGTGGCAATAGACGTGGCTATGGAGGAGAGGTCTCAAAACACATCTCTGGCTGTTAGACTTGTAACATAAGACAATGCGGCCTCAGTTCTTGCTTTGCGCAACCGGCCTCCTGGCCGGCACGGCTACTGCCAGCTTCGATGGGAACATCAACTACGACAGCCCGTCCGGGCGCCATGAGAGCCTGGGCATTGACGTTGGCCTCGTTGAGCGTCGATCGTGGAAGCGCGGCAACGTGGCCTATGAGCCGTCGCAGCTGCACTTCACCCATGGCATTGCCTCTGGTGACCCGTGGCCCGAGAGTGTCATCCTCTGGACCCGTGTCGCCCCCCAGAATGAGTCTGACAAGAGCGAGGCAACGGTCAATGGGACGGCTCCTCTCTGGAGCCATGAGACGGAGAAGTATACCAAGGCCGATGCTAACCCCATCTGCGTCGAGTGGAAGGTGTTTCACAGCAAGTCGGCGAATAGCACCAACCAGAAGGTTGTGGCTAGCGGCAAGGTCTACACGACTTCAGATATCGATTATACTGTCAAGGTGGGAAAAGTTTGTTAGCCGCGTGATTGGAGAGAAGTGCTGATTGCGATTGTGTCATGTAGGTCGAGGCCAAGGGGCTCAAGCCCTTGACCACGTACTTTTACCAGTTTAACGTTTGCGGATCTTCCAACAAGAGCCCCGTTGGCCGTACCAAGACTGCGCCTGCCAAGGACGATGCTGTTTCCAAGTTGAGCTTTGCAGTGTTTTCTTGCAGCAACTTTCGTGAGTGGTTGGGCCTCATTGCCTTGGACTGAAGATGGATCGAGGGGCTGACAATGTCTGAAGCTAATGGCTACTTCAACGCCTATGGCAATGCCGCAAGGAAGGACAAGCACGACTATGTCATTCATCTTGGTGACTACCTTTATGAGACTGGAAAGGGTGGCGAGCGTGCTACCAAGCCCTCTGGAACCATTTGGACTCTAGGCGACTATAGGACTCGCCACGGACTGGTTTGTCATTGCTGGGTCCTTCTCGTGTACGTTGGTTACTTACACGAGGACAGTATCGAAGCGATGCCGATTTGCAGCTCTTGTCTAAGGATTTCCCCTGGATTACTACGTGGGATGACCACGGTAAATTGAATCAGATGGCATGGTGAGAGGTAGCATACTGATGTCCGATACAGAGTTTGCAGATAATGGCTACAGGGATGGCTTCAGTGGTCTCAATAACACTGAGGACTCATTCCTCAAGTCTGGTACCAAAGTTACTGTCGATACCCGCAAAGTACACGCTGTTCGCGCCTATTTCGAGTGGATGCCAATTCGGTAAATTTTCTTCTTCTCCTGCCAAACTTCTTGTCGACGGGATGGTTGGGAATAACTCATGTTGTGTAGTCAAACCGATCTGGACGACGGTCTGCGGGTTTGGCGATCCTTCCAGATGGGCAAGTTGATGGATCTCATAATCCTCGACACCCGAAACTATGACCGGAGCATCACCGACGTTTGTAAGTAGGCTGAAGAGGCCCAGTCGACAATGACACGACACACTGACCAACTGTAGACTGGGACAAACACTACATTAGCGAGATTGCGGACGACCCGAGCCGCTCGTTGATGGGAGCCCGCCAGGAAAACTGGTTTTACCGGTCTCTCAGCCAGTCCAAGGAGCGAGGTGCCACATGGCGCATTATTGGTAACCAGATTGTCTTCTCGCGCATCCTGCAGAACGACAACTGGGGTCTCAATGGCGACGCCTGGGACGTAAGTCGAGCCTACAATGATGTACCGTCAGATTGGTGGGTTGAAGATGCGACTGACGGCGTATGATAAGGGCTATATTGCCAACCGCAACAGGACCCTGCAACACTTGTACGACAACAGGATTGACAACAACATCTTCCTGGCGGGCGACACTCACCAGAACTGGGTTGGTAAATCACAAATATCGGGACAGGAACGAGTGAAGCTGCTGCTAATGATGATGACGATATCAGGTGTCTGATCTCGCCTGGCTCGGAAACAAGCCGTACGACAAGGCTACCGGAAACGGAGCCATTGGCGTAGAATTCGCTGGCACGGCCGTCAGCTCCAGTGGCCAGAATGGACCTATCGAGCCTGTTGCCGGTGACAATGCTCGAAGCCTGGTGAAGCGCAACGAAGAGCTCGGGTGGCAGGAAGGCTATTACCGCGGATACTTTCAGTTGACGATTACGCCTGAAGAGGCGACTGCGCAGTACTACGGTGAGCCTCGGAGTTGATGATATTGTTGCCCAACAACGGAGAGCTGGAGGACTAATACTCGACGTGATTGCGAGCTTAGGCTGCCCTACCGTCGCGACCAGAAACGGCTGGGATCTTCCCCTGGCCAACTTTAGCATTGCTGCGGGCGGGAATCACCTGGAGCGTCCGATTGCCGGTGGGAAGGTCGAGTCGGGCGCACTGAAAGACGGCGAGGTCAAACATGGCAACTTGACGCTGGATACGAACACGGGCAAGTGGGAGGTTATTGGTTTTGAGAAGATGTACTTGTAAGAAAACGGGGTGGAGCGTCGGAAAAAAAACCAGCGGTAAAGTGTCGAGTCGGTTACCGGGATTCCCGGACTGTTGCGTACTATTAGTAGTTGACCTACGAGGTACATCTATCAATTGAAGCAATTTGGCGTTGAGTTGACTAGGCGGCTTTTCACCGACGGCAGGGGAGCGTCCAGTTGACCCAGTGACCCCTCCCAGCCATCTCGTATTCGGGCCAGCCTACACATGTATCTAGTAGCATTGAATGAATTGACTTCAATGTTGCAACTTCGTAATTATCGACTCCCACTGGGCAATGTTACCTGTAAGCACCGACCCGTGCACTTGATTATTCTGGTCAACTTTCGCCCGGAAAATTCGGTAGCCATCCTCGTGTCAGATGATGTCAAGTCTGGTATGGACAGCCTGTTGCCAGGAGTCAATGGTTGATAACTTAGCACTGAGATAACCAGCACAGCCTGGCACCAGGTTTGGCGCGCTGATCCCGGCACCCCGGCACCCCGGCACCTCCAAGGTTGCCGCTTGACGTCACACATTGACTCTGCGCTTTGCGACCATCCAGGGTCTCAACCTTGTCGGAGAAATATTCGCGGATGATGGCCGACAAGAAGTCCTGACAGCCATGGCGAGGATGCCCTCTTGTTAGCTTTGTTGCGACGCCGGCTCCTTTTCTTCTCAACCCTGACTCTCCGACCCCCAACCTCGAATCTTCTTTGTTCTTTGAACCCGTCGCCTGAGACCATTGTCCTGAACTTTGCTGTCCTGAACTCGGAACATTGACTCTCTCCTTGTGGCCCGAGACTAAAAACAGAAGCACGACAAATATTCCCAATGTCAATGTTCCAACATACATAAATGCAAGGCCGGCCGACAAGCGCACACTCTGTCTGGCCTTGACACGTCGTCAATCAATGCCCAACACCGCAACACGCATAACCAAGCTCAACAAAATTCTTGGCTTGGCTTTCGGGAACAAGCTCCAACACTACCAAATGGCCACCATTGCCCCAAACCCGTCGACTACAACTACCGATACCAACGGTGTCAACGATGTCAACGGTGCCGCGCAGACGAAATCCGACATTGCCAATCTACCTAGCCCTGTAGACCAAGCCAATGGCGCGGACCAGAGCCACCAGGCCAAGCCCGATGCCGCAAATCCATCCAAGGCACCCGAGGCAGCCAACGACACCGACGACGAAACCGACGACGACAACGCGGGCCAGGGCACTTGCAACACCAAGCATTCACAGCCTCGAGACAACGGAACACGGCCGGCACCCAAACCCAAATCACTGCAAGCGAACGGCTCCGGTCTGAAACGGGCAATCAAGGGCAAGAAACCACCTGGGGGTTTCGACACAACACCGCTGCCAGACGCGCCTCAAGGCTATACCATTCGATTTACCTTTCGCTATGCTGCCAACTTACCACCGGCTGACTTTGGTACTGCCTCCTCTGACCCGTTCCTCACCGCCACGCTCACGGCGTCCAACCCAAAGAGACATAAAGAGGACCCTGACCTCGTCCACCGCACTCGCACCATTAGGAAGACGACAGAGCCGGAATGGAACGAAGAGTGGGTGGTCGCAAATGTGACTCCGTCGGGATTTAAACTCAAGTGTCGCCTCTATGATGAGGACGCCGCTGACCATGACGACCGCCTAGGAAACGTGACCATCCAAGTGCCTCGAGTATTTGAACAATGGGAAGGGATTCCTCCACCGGGTAAGGAGTATGCGGCCAAGAAGCGCGTCATGAGCAAGCGAGCTTTCCTAGTCCAGGCAATAGCAAGCTTGTTGCGCTCTGATACTCATCTCACCCCAAAACTTTGCGTCAGCATTGAAGTCCTCGGCAAATCAGATCCTCCATTTGCCCAGATGTGTACCCTTGGGCCAACGAGGTGGACAAAACACTTTAGTCCCATGATTGGGAGAATAACAGGCACCAAAGTGAACAGGGATGAGGAACATGACCAGGACGGGGGATCTTGTCAGGCCGCGAGCTCCGGTCAAGCTGGGGAAAAGAAGAGCCAGAAATACGAGTAAGTGAAAGGCGTCCCCATACGGACAAAAAGATTGCGATTCTGATGAATTGTGCAGCTTCCAAGCAAATGAGATGCAACTACAGGGTCCCGTACCAGCTGAACTGTACCACCGCTATGTCGAGTTCAGACCCATCATCAGTTCCATGTTCTCGTCAAAAGGCATCCGCGGCAAAATTCTCAACATGGCGCTGCACAAGCAACACAACCGCGTGTACAACTACGACCAGTCCACAGAATGGGGCTCATTCGAGCCGTGCTCCGACGCAGCGACGCTGGCCTTTCTCAGACTCGCCCACTTTGACGAAGGCGGCCGAACGTTTACCTACGTACTCACGTTGGACGGCCTGTTCAGGTTCACCGAGACGGGCAAAGAATTCGGCATTGATCTTCTGAGCAAGCACACAATGCACTCCAACGTAGAGACGTATATTGCCTGCTCTGGAGAATTCTTTATTCGACGGCTCGAACGACCCGTCGCATCAGATGACCCCCAACCCGCGGAGAAGACGCACCCAGAGGATCCCATCTCTGGCGGCCCACCTGATGAGTCGCCGCCCTCCAACCCGGCGTACTACCAGCTTTTCATCGACAATGATTCCGGGACGTACCGACCGGATAAGTCGATTTTGCCCAAACTCAAGAAATTTCTCGAGAAGAACTTTCCCAACTTGGGCGTCGTCACTATGCACTGTGAGGATGAGGAGCTCCAGAGGTTAAAGGAGGCTCAGCGCAACGCGAAGAAGAAGGAAGGCCGCATGGTCAATGTGGTCATGAACAGGAGTCTGAGCAGTATCAGCTCGGCAGAGAGCGAGCTGAATGATCGCGATGAGACCTGGGAATCGGGGAAGAAGAGTAAACGAGAAGCTGTGCTGGCCGTCTTGGAGGACCCCCATACGATCAAAGACGCTCTGAAGGGGCCGGGACCCTCGAACAAGGGCAAAGCAGTGGAAGCTTGAAAATCTACCGATGGGCTGTTGCAAAGGCTGCTGGTGGTTGCTGGTGTCATGGGCTTGTAAATTTCCGAAAATCCTGGGTCTGAGTAACCTGTCAGCGCTTGAGTTGGTTCCCTCGGTCTAGTATTCTATATGCCACCGTATAATGTGATACCACTTTTGTTTTTGTGTACATGCCTCGTCGTACATGGCCTCAACCACGTGTCTAATTCATGTGAACAATGCCAACTGCTTGCTTGCCCATGTCGAGCCGCCAACGTGCCCGCTTCTGGCGACGGCTTATAAACTGGGCTTCAGAGCCACCCACGTACTAGCACCCTCTGCCAGAACCGCGCCCTGCCCGTCCTTGACCTCGCACCTCATCCTCGTTTTCCGCCCCTCGATGCTCTCCGTCCAGGACGTGACCCACACCACGCCCGGGACGGGCACCGGCCGCAGGAACCTGATCTCCAGGGAGGCCGTCACGCTGCTCAGCTTGTGCACGAGCCCGTCCTTGCCCAGCGCCGTGTTGATCTCGTTGACGGTGCCCATGCTCTCGTCCACCATGGTCATGGTCATGCCGCCGTGGATGATGTCGTGATAGCCGCTTAGTCCCTCGCCCGCGGCAAACAGCGTGTCCACGCGCGTGATGGGCCGTGCGGGATCCCGCAGGTGCGTCTCGTCGTCGGGGCGGAAGAAGGACAGCACGTGCTTTAGGCCCCTTTCCGAGGCGAGCGTTGCGCCGACGAACTGGTCGTGCTCGGGGGATATGGGGTTGAAGCATTGCGGGATGAAGGGGATGGCGGGGCCGACGCCGTAGGGGCTGTCTTTGCTCAGGAGGAGGTCGGCGCACCAGGGGATCGAGGTGAAGTGTGAAAGGGCGGATGGGTAGAGGCTTGGTGGTGTGTTGGGCGGGTGAAGGTTGAGGGCGGGACTGAGTACCCGATTGAGAGGGGTGAGCTGTGAGGATTTGTTGTTTTCTGACATGATGGGGTTGGAGGTTGTGGCTGTGGCTGTGAGATTGGGAGATTGATGGGCTTGTAGAGGAGTTGTTGGCTGGGATTCTTCACTGATTGATAAGTGAATGAATGAACTTGGTATGGGTAAAATGGAGACCTCGGCTTTGCGAGGTTGTGAATCGGAGTGGATGGGCTTGTGTGGGGTTGCGGGCGGCTCCGCGGCTCCACGAGTGCCGACGTGTAAGTGCCTGGAGTTAATCTCCGTGCCTACAGTGGTGTAGCAGGCAGACTGTGAATCGATTGGTACTTTGCGCATGTACGTGAGCAGGGTGTTCCATGCAGCGAGTTGTGTAATGTGTTTCAAAGTTGGGAGCCCGACCTGCTGCATATCTCAACGACGGCCCGGCTACTGCGCACAAACTACCCGCCTTGGCAAGGCGTCAACTACTTGTCAATTACTACGTATATGCCCACGGAATCTGTGTGGGCATCTGTAGGTAGGCAGGCATGAAATAGAATACTGGATACCTGAGTATTCAAATCATGGCTAATTTTTCAACATATACGGCACCAGGCGCCGTTGAGTTGAAATATCTTTCTACCAACAAATATCCGTTTGCCTGCCAATCACTGACCATGACGCATAGGTCTTAACGTCACCCAAAGTGACTCTCTAACAGTAATGCAGCAAGGCTCACAGCTATCTGTGTCCATCTCATTTACAATGCCTGTCTACCTGTCTACCTGCCAACTGCCATGGGCCGTTCATACTCTCGCCAGCTGGCAAATTACCTTGACCAGCCGACAGTCTAACACGCGGAAAAAGTTTCATCTCATGAAGAGAAAAACCACGCCGAAATCTGCCTGTCACATTCTAAAGTTTTCTTTACATTCACATCTAACTCGTAATTCACATTTGTACTCCTCCTATTATCTGCAACCAACAACTCATCAGCATGGAGAGCAGCGACGATGGATCGACCCTTAGCACCGACCACATCAACACCCTCATCACCATCGAGCGCACGGGGGCAGGTCTATCTATGGCCGCCATCCTCCTCACCGTCGTTCCGTTCCTGGCCTTCAAGAAACTCCGCACCACGCCAAACACGTTTCTCGTGTTTGCGTCCATAGCAAACGCCGGCGCGAGTGTGGCCTCCATGATAGGGTATGACGGGCTACGGATGGGCGAAGAGTCGACGCTTTGTCAGGCCCAGGGGTTCATATTCGAGTGGTAAGGGAAGTGGCCAAGTTTTTGTAGATGAATTGTTGACAATGGATTGTAGGTTCATGCAAGCCGACCCCTGGTGGTCGTTCGCAATGGCAGTCAACGTCTTCTTGGTATTCTTCAACAACGCCAACCCGAGCATGTTTCAGAAGTACAAGTGGGTATATTGCGTGGTTTGTTTCGGGGGGCCACTGCTGCCTGCTCTCGTGCTTGTTTCCATTCGTGACGAGGAGCGAGGTCCAGTCTTTGGCGACGCAGCTGTGAGTATCCCACACACACTTGCATGTTGGAAGGCTATCCTGACAGGAGCTCAAGTTGTGGTGCTGGATCAGGCCCGAATGGAGCATTGTTCGTCTTTATGCGTACTACATCCCCATTTGGATCTGTATCCTCCTCTCTATTTTCATCTACATTGCTGTAGGATACCATGTTTTTCGTAGCAGGAACCAGCTGCGGAATGTGACGTTCCAGCATCCAACCAGCAATTGGCGCAATGGATCTCTGACGGATAGCGAAAACAGGATTTCTGGAGAAGCGGTAAGAGCACGCTACATCAGTCATGAGGAGAAAGAGAGAGAGAGAGACAGACCTAACTTTAGCAGAACCCTACGAGAACAAATGTCTGTTATGGACTCGCAATCACAGAAGTCCAAGTCACAACCAACTTCCCCGGTTTTGTCGACGAACATGTCCCCGTTCTCCCTGCAGCTGTGCACAGGACACCATCTCGAATGCGTGGCCGATCATGGCTAGATTCCCACAATGACTCGGATAGCGAGAGGGTTGTACCTACGCAGCTGTTTGAGACGACTTGTTCGTCTGGGGGGCGATACACCAATAATAATTCATTGGTCGGGAAATTTGGGGCGTTGAAGTCCACGGCATCGATGAAGCTCAAGCGTTTGGATCCCGTCAAGATGGCGTATCTGCGGACGAGTGGCATCTTTGGCATCTCCGTGCTGATTACATGGATCCCTAGTTCAATTAATCGGATTTACAGCCTTTGGAACGGGGGACAAGTCAACTACCCTCTCAGCATTGCAAGCGGTTGTGTGTTGCCGCTCCAGGGTGTTTGGAATGCCATCATCTTCTTCACGACCAGTTGGTCAGATGTCCAGGTCGAGGCGAAGACGCTCAAGGCAAGGCTCGGTTACGGCGGTGTATGCGAGTATCCTCGGAGCACCCGCCTAGAAAGCAGATTGGGCATCTCGTCAGTGGAAACGTATGATTCATTCAACGAGTCTCAATGCCATGCGACAAAGCGCTGCAGATGTGATAAATTTGTTGGAGAGGCTGTCCGACTTGAGGATTGGGATGGTTGCGCCAGTCCATCGCCATCTAATTCCAGTGCGGGACGACGACGACAGACTATGCGACGTGTTTGATGGGTAGGAAAACAATGCTTGGCTGAAGACACGCACAGGGAAATTTAAAAAGAAAACACATTAAATGTTTGGCAGAGTATTGTGTTTGTCATAACCATGCCTGTAGATAGGAGTAGTTGCGGACTTTCTTAACTAATTCTTAAATTCTGGAATGAAAAATTTCCTCTCCCTCGGCGGCATCAACTCCATCCCTGATGCATCTCTTAACAGCAGCGTCAAGATCTTCAGTGCCGTCCTGAAGATCAAGCCATGTGTTCCTGACGCCATCAGCAGCGAGTAAGGCGTCTGCGGTGGCCGCCACTGTAGCCCTGCTCACTTTGCCATTTACATGGGCCGTCTTGCCGAGCTCAACCTTGCCAGCAGGTTCCTCGGTAAGCGTAGCCGGTCGAAGGCAAATGCCAACAAGAGTAGAGCTCTTCTTGGACGTCTCGTAGAGGACTTCGTCAGCGGCAATCTTTGCCTTGTAGTAGGTCGCGAGCACGCCGTGGTTGACCTTTTTGTTGTAGTCATCCCACTCGCCCTCGGGCCACCACGAGGCACCTGCACGCCGGGAACCCCCGTACGAGACGAGGAGGAATCGTCTAATAGAGGGAATGTCGGCGGCGGCGCGGATGAAGTTGACTGCCGCGTCTCGGTCTACCTTGAAGGTCTGTCAAATGTCAGCAAGGGACGGCCAGGTTCACATGGTGGTTGTGATTGACATGCCATTTCGGGGCCGCCTTTGCCGCCGGCACCTGTTTGAGGTCAGTCACTGCTTTCGCAATTGCACCAAGCCTGCGTATCTGGCGGGGTGTACCGGCACTCCAAGCAACGTAATCGGGCTTCACATTGTTCAAAATGGCCGCGGCACGTTCTTGTGTAGAAACCTCATCCACACTGCTGACCAGAACGTGGAGCTTGCCAGGCAAACCACTGCCGAGCTTCTCAATGGCAGGGGCCTGCTCCTTGGTACGGATCATGCTGGTCACGGTCCATGATCTTTTTAGCAGCAGTGGCGTGAGCAGCTGGGCAACCTTGCCGTGACCGCCGATGAGAAGGACATGATGAGATGCAGCCATGGTTGGTGGGTTCGATGACGGTGCTGCCAAAACGTTGGAGCTATGCTCTGGTGACTGCAGGTCCGGTTTGCAGGTGATTGCACAAGACGATTATTTGAGATGCTGGAGATTGGGCCATGAGCTTTGACAGATGTCTGCTACTTACGAATGCAGCTTGCCCCCCTCATCGCACCATCGGGACTGATGACGACATGCTGAACTTGCAGCTGGGTGTACCGGTACTAACATGGAGGCAATGCAACCAGACACCAGACTATGAAGACCGCCGTTGCCGCTTTTGCTTAGGCTCTGATCACTGTATCCGACTCGGGCCCACAAGCTTCCAGAGCTGTCAATTTTACATATGTATGTATTAATTAATGCAATACCACAGCTTTTCCTCCTGTATAATTTGCGGCGACTCCAAAATACGTCAATTTGTGTAAAATCAAGAATATAGTAGTTTGAAAGAAGCCTTTTCCCGGAGAGTTGTTTTTTCCCCATGCTTCCATCGCGCGCAGCCCATCGCGTCCCCTGTAGACCCAAGGCAAGGCACTTTAACGGCGTCTTCTTCCAGGGCCTAATCCATGCCCTTTGGCCCAATTTCGCGGTCTTGTCGGTTGCTGTATGGCGACCTGCCAGGATGACCTTCCAATTCTTCTCTCAGGGATGTTGTCTCCATTGTCTCCAACTGAAATGAAATCTAGTCCGTTGTTGTCTCTCACCTGCGTGCTAGTTAGTGTCTTGGTAACTCGGCGCCAGCCCCATATGGACAATGGACCCTCTCCCTCCCACGACGTCAATCCTCACGACAATATTCCTCTCTTTACTCCATCCACCCTCAAGAGACGCGGTATTGCTTCCTGGAACCACTTCGTACCGTACACAATGGTGGTGCCTCCTGTCATCCACTCAGATAAAGGTATATCCCTCCCCGCCATACCGATCGCGTCGCCTCGTCATGCTAACTTCCCGAAGCCTGGGTCACGCTCATCACCAACGAGTCCTACCTGCCAGGCCTCCTGACCCTCAACCACTCCCTCCGCACCGTCAAATCCGCATATCCCCTCGTTGCCCTCTACACACCCTCCCTCCCCTCCTCATGTCTGGCTGCCTTCTCTCGCCGCGGGATCCCATCCATCCCCGTTCCCTACATCGCGCCTAGATCTGGCAAAAAGTACCTCGAGGACGCGCGCTTCAACGACTGCTGGACGAAGCTCGTCGCCTTCTCGCTCACGCAGTTCTCGCGTATAGTCCAGCTCGACTCTGACATGCTCGTTCTCAAAAACATGGACGAGCTAATGGACCTGGCCCTCGACCCCGTCTCCCTCAGCGAGTCCGGCTCCGAGACAAGCAAGCGGGTATTCGCGTGCGGACACGCCTGCGTCTGCAATCCGCTCAAAAAGCCTCACTACCCGTCTACCTGGGTGCCCGCCAACTGCGCATTTACACACCAGCATGGCAATCCGGACCTAGCTCAGGTGGAGGGCGCTGATCCGGCACAGAGCCTAGGGGACTTGAATAGCGGGCTGTTGGTGATAAATCCGTCCAGGGTGTTATTCGAACAGATTATAGAACATATGGATGCCCATGGGGAAACGTACGCTTTTCCGGATCAGGATTTGCTGGCGGATTTGTATAGGGGTCGATGGGTTCCGCTGCCGTATGTGTATAATGCGCTGAAGACGATGAGAAATGCGGATGTGCATGGTGCGATTTGGAGGGATACGGAGGTGAAGAATGTGCATTATATATTGAGTCCAAAGCCGTGGGCGGAGCTAGATGAGCAGGGGCAATGGAAGGGTGAGAGTGAGATTCATGGGTGGTGGGCTGAGGCTAATCGAAGGAGACTGGAGAAGGAGAAGGAGGAGGGGATATTGGATTGAGTTTCCTGTTTGGAGAGCTGGCGGAGAGTCTGGCTGTTGCAAGAAATCATGAGCGAGCGGTGTTGGGGGGTGGTTTTCTGAGTGAGATGGCTGAGACGGAGTTCGGATTTGGACTCTCTCCTGGGACAATTGGGGGCCATTGTTTTCATTCTTCAAGAGGTTAAGTTGAGTATCTGCTTCTCTTCTCCGTTGAATGCAGTACATGCATGATGTCCTCAGTTCAGAGAGGCGTTCTTGGTACATGGTCTTGCAAGAGTTCAGGTGACTTTGCCATGCCATGAATAGGCTAGCATACCAGTTGACCCCTCGAGTGCCTCGTCGTAATGTCAAGTCTACTACTCCAAACTGCCCGACCAACCAGCCCTTATCGGCGGGTGTTTCAATTAGTGGTACTATTGACGAAGTGGCAGTTTCAAAATCACACGTATGAGGAAGATATGTGTTACTTACCTAGGTACCTAATACTAGGATAGTACATGTTTATTTCATGGAGCTCATCTCGTCGCCCCGCCTCATGAATCCGCTACTTCTACAAGTTGGTGTGCGAATAGTACAGATCACTTGATGTCAAAGGAATTGTATATATCTATTGAAAGAATGGATATGATGAATTCGGTAATTAGTGGCAAGCGCCGGCTCATGCAACAAGCCTCGGCAGGTGTGGAGGACAAGGCTGGCGGCTCTATCCGCCCAACCCTCGTCTTTATCCGTCAGCTGGTACAACTTTTGATACGGCGCTGTAACATTGAATCGAATCGCACCGCCCCTCCACAAACTCCCACACGACGGGCCGTCTTGCTTAGGGTTATCTACTGGCTCGTGCGTAGAGGTGCTCATGAGCCGTATTTTTTCTCTTACGGACCAAGATTCTTCCGAACGGCGCGCATCTCACTGTGGACTGCTTCCTCCCATTGATGGTCCTGGTGCTAATGTTAGAGTAGCCGCGCTTGTCCTCGCCCAGTCTCTGGAAAATCCGGAAACTGCCATTCCTCCACATGCGCTGCCCACCGCCATTGTATCGAGGAGTCCAAACAGCGGCCGGTGTTCTTTCATAAGCAAGCGCCAGGCATATCGACGATGTACCTCACTACTGGCTGACTTGGAAGCCGACACTCTGGTGCCATCTAGGTGTTCACGACCACTCTGTATCGCCGCCGGAGTGGATCAAGTCGAGTTTTGCTGGCACGGCCATTGATCATTCATGTACTACAGCTAGCTCACCAACCAGACATGGATTCTCCATTTCTAGTCTGGCATTTTCTTTCCTAGATGGCGCCCGTCCTTTTAAAGGCATCCCGGTTCCAGAATTCGTTTTCGAGCATCAGTGACCGGTATCGGTACAGCTTGTATAATGCAAACTTCACCAACAGCAACTACGGAGTACGTCGAAGATGCAACTGATCCTTTTCATTGACTCAATGTAATGCAGGATTCTTATAAAATCAGCAGCAGCGTCGCTCTCTTCTCGCAATGAATATCTCTCTTAGGAAGTACAGGTCCATCGAAATGCGCCATTCAATCAACCCGAAGGACTCACATTTTGGCTAGATGACTGCGTTTTTCAGAGCCGTGCATTGAACCTTTACAATTCTACTACGATCCGTCCTAGCTTCCTGCTAATGCTTAAAACTTCAGATAATTCCATATATTGACCAAAGCTCATCGCGTTTGTGGTTCATATTTGGAATTACTGGCAAATGCCACTGATGCTGCAAGAGAGACCACGGCAACATGGGACGCCATTATCGCAGAACGAACCTGATTCGTTACAGCCTCGACAGACGCTCGAACTGCTGCAAAAGAGGCCGCTGCAGCAGGGGACACCATTGTCGCAAAACGAGCCTGATATATTGCAACCGCGGCAAATGCTGGAACTACTGCAAAAGAGGTTATTGCAGCAGGGAACGCCATTGTTGCAGAATGACCCGGCCCCGTTGCATCGCTTGTCTAGATTGGCAGAGGGCGATGTGTCCTTTGTAGGGCTTGCAAGTCCCAAGCCAAGGAGTGAGGCTGCAAGAACAATTTGATTCTTCATCTTGTATAGGTCTCAGGGGAGGAATGGGATACGATTGTGAAGTGCCGAATACGAAAGGAAGAAGATATTGACCAAGTTCAACGTACGGAGTATTACATGTGACTAGTCAAAGCTTTGAGGTCCGTGGAGAGTGTTGGCACCAGCCGAACCTCTTATGCATATCTAGGCAAGTCATTGGGGAGGCTGCAAGTGTACAAGGCGCATGTATCTCACCCATACAGCTTTGAGTTGTCCCGATGTTGCATTAGAGGCTTGTATAGCCGGGTCTATGGCAGTTCTGGACTTGTACAACCCAGCAAAAAGATGTCAACTAGTGCGAGAAATGATGCAGAAACTCTGGCATGCGTCAATAGTAAGCTATTAAGCTGCGCTCTACCGGGGCTTGCGTGACAAATAGAGAAAGTCACGAAGCTTCAAGTGCGACGATCCGAAAGTACCCCAGGAGCATTTCACCAGGGCAGCTTCATATCTTGATGGGTACTCAAGTAGTCGGTACCTTCAACAGCCAGAGTCAAAGTCAGCCGCAGTCGGCGATGGGGGCGGAGACTAGACATATTGAAGTAGGAGAATTGCTGCTCGGGCACGACTATTTGGCTTCCAATTGGCTCGGGTTTTGTCCATCAGGTAGCTTTAGTTTGCCCTTTCAGCTCCGGGTGTCCATAGTTTATACGTGACTTGTTTCCTCGCGCGGGTTCAAAAATTCATCGCGTGACCATGGCACGGTATCTTGGGTGGAATTCTGACAAGCAAAGATGTACATGGATGTGAAACTGCCTTGTTGTTTGTATGGAGAGCGGGTAGACTCCTGCAAACCGAACTATGCTAATAGAAAAGGCCAATGAACGAGCCATGACGAATCCAAGGTTCAAGTTTGCTCTGGTGCAGCTGAAGAAAGATCTTGAAAGTCGGGGCTTTTGCTCCATGTTCGTACTACATGGTAAAAGTTCACCTTTTCCGCGGGGCAATCCGACAATATCACGCGTGCTGCAGTGAGGCAACAAGCCCCGGCTGGCTCAAACAAAAATAGTGATGGTTGAATGCACGCTCCAGCTGGGCTGACTACTTCACTCCATGTTGACTCGGTGAGGCTGGCTGAATATTGGACTCCGCGAGGTACCTAACGTAAGTGACAACGATGCTAATGGTTGTCTTGTAACTCACCAGGTTGACTCTCGGTACAGATCGCCAGAGGTGGGCTAATCAATTGTCGGACGGTACTCCGTATAAGGGGTCTAAACACATGAAATAGTGTGGCGTGGCCACGCCCTTTTTTTTGTGTAACATGGAGGCCAGGGTTGGAACCCAAAAGTTTTCATTCCTCCAGCTTTTTGACGCTGTCGACGCCGGGCTACAGCATTTCCCAAGATCTTGCTGCCTGGACAGACGTGTCTAACGGAATGTCTTGGCTATGATGCGAACTGACTATGGTTTACTCCGAGCATGTTGCATGGTAATGTTGTGTAACTATCCAAGGCCAAGCGCTATGGATTATGTAATTGTCGAGCTCCAGCTCAACTGTCATGCAGACTCACCGTTGACGCCACTATTTGCCAACACGGGCGTGGCTTGGCGGCAACAACTCCCTCACTCATCAACCAAAAGATCTTGACCCATTTCATTTCTAGACCAGGACGCAATGAGATATTGAATGCGATAACAAGAACCAGGAGGTTTTCTGGGGGGGCGCGAAATCATCCGGAACAGGTGGTGATAGTGCCATTGTGAGGGGGGTTTGCGACGTCCAGGAAACTCGGCGTTTCATCACATTACTCAGTTCGCGACTTATGCTTGGACTCGGCTCTAGGCAACCAGTGAAAAGATGCCGAAATCAGTTTGCATCGTAGGTAAGTCTAGATGGATAGGCTATGCATGAGACCTGTAGCTGATGCCCTGCTCTAGGCGCTGGGCCGTCCGGTCTTCTTGCGGCCAAGAACCTCCTGTGCAACGCCCCAAAGGGCTGCTTCAAAGTCACCGTGTTCGACGCTCATGATGGCATTGGCGGGCTATGGCCAACCTCAAAGACGGATACGAAGCGTCAGGTGCACCCTTTGATGGTAGCCAACCAAAGCAAACACACCATGCAGTTTAGCGATCATGCCTGGGAAGATGGCGCTCCTCAGCTCCCACGGGCCTGGCAAGTTGGCCGCTACTTGGAGAAGTACATGTCTCGCTACTTGTCTTCACACCCGGACTTCAGCTTGCATCTCAACACGCGAGTCGTCCGAGCAGAGCAAAGGGATGGAGATGGCAGTGGGTGGGATGTGCGACTCGAGTCTGGGGGCCGGGAGCAGACACAGCATTTCGAACATCTAGTTGTTGCATCAGGCTATTTCGGCAAGCCCATTACTCCGGAGGGGGTGTCACTTGCACCTTCGGCAGCAATCCCAATCATTCATAGCAGCCAATATAGGCACTTGAAGAATCTTCTTCGAACCCGTAGCTCTGCCAAGGGCAAGATTCTCGTTGTTGGGGGTCAGATGTCTGGTGTTGAGGTTGCGGGAACCATTGCTTCGCATTTGTCGTCTGCCACAAACTCGCCCAATGATTTCTCGGTGCCCGACATCGATCAGTGCTCAATTCATCATATCATCCAACGGCCAATCTGGGTCTTTCCTTTACACACAACTGCTGAGGTAGGCCCCCTATTCGACAACTCTTTGGCTGCTCGGAGCTGACACTGGACACAGCCCAATGCTGCTGCCGCGCCGTTCCTACCTCTGGACTTCTCATCCTACAATCGAAACAATCGACCACTTCCCTTGGTCAACACTCAGGGTCACGTCGATGAGAAAACTGCACAAGTCGTGAATGGCATTTTCCAAAACGCTTTGGGGACGGACCAGTCTGCCTTTTCGTCTCTCCTTTATGTCGATGATGCAGCAAAGACTCAGCCACCTTACTTGGCAGTCAGCGACTGGTATTGCGATTTCGTGAGATCAGGACTAATATCCCTATCCAACGGGAAGTTCGAATCACTCAACGGAAACACAGCCAAACTTGATAATGGGACGCAAATCGAGGACGTCGTAGCGGTAGTGCTAGCTACAGGTTTTGATCCATCACCCTGCATTAGCTACCTGCCCAGCCAGGTTTTGAAGACACTCAACCACTCTCCGCAGCACACAGAACAGCCACTTGCATTGGCGTTCCATGCAACCCACCATCCAGACATTACAGGATTAGGGTTTGTTGGCTTCTACAGATCTCCATACTGGGGAGTGATGCAAATGCAGGCCCGTTTCCTGGCACAATACTGGTCCACGCCCATAGATGCGCTCCCTCAGGCACTAGAGTTGAAACTGAAGTCCGACACGTCCATTCAAAGAACGCTTGACCTCCGAGATGACGCACGACTCTCACAGTTCCCGATGGGCGACTATCCTTTCCTCATGCAGGAATTCTCTGAAGCACTTTCAATACCGAGAGTAGATCCGTTGTTGAGCGGTATTCCCACGCTCTCATATAATAATCTTCCCTTAGACATGCTCACTCCCGCAAGATATGCATCACCGTCAGACGACGCTTCAGCAAAGGCAGACGCGGAAAAGATGCGACAAGACACCGTAAACGTTGCTATGGATGGCCTGACAACACCCCGCTTTATTCCACGCGCCGTGTTCCGAAGTCTCCTGGGCACGTGGAAGCTCGAAAGAGAACTAACAAGCAGGCTGCCAACACACCCGAGCGGTCATTTCAGCGGCACGGCCCGGTTCCTTCTGAGAGACAAGACGTCAGATGGTCTGCAGTGCGCCAGGCAAGGTCTAGGGTTATCCGATCCCCATGAAGATGGAGGCATGGAATACCTATACATTGAAGATGGAGAATTCAAGACTGAGCAAGGATTCGGCTTTAGAGCAAGCAGACGCTACGTCTGGCGATACGATGAGAAGAAGGAATCATTGACCGTCTGGTTCGCCAAACCTGGCGATCCTAAGCGAGCAGACTACTTATTCCACGAGATTGAGTTCTTACAGCCGGAGAATGGTCGTGAGGAGGGGTGGTCTGCAAAGGCAGGACACCTTTGCATTGATGACTACTATGACGTCAAGTATAATTTTGCATTTCAAGCTGTCAACTTGAAGAACTGGAGCATAGAATACACAGTCAAAGGGCCCAAGAAGGATTACTCGATCAAGGGGGGATACACTAGATAGATTTCCAAGAATTGGGTATTTATTCATAGTTACCAGTCATTTCCTCCCTAGACAGATCCGGTTAGACTTATACTCGACGAGCATCTTGAATACACAGATGGAGAAAAGACTAGTGTTCTATTCCACGCTGGGTTGATCATGAGTCTAGTAAACGCTTTTGGAACACCAAACATTCCGTATATCCCCACAAGTCTACACACCCGCTCACGTAGTAGTCGCAGCAGCCGGGGCTCGCAATAATCCGTCTTCCAGCGAGAAGCTACCATCAGCGCCTACAGGTTTGATCTTATTACAATCATCGGTTATGTTCTCTCGAGCATCGTAAAAGTGGGCTTGATCGAGCTCGTTCAGCTGATCTCTTGTTTCCGAACTTAGAGATTGGGTCATCTGCGCGAAATCCTGCTGAAAAAATGTCAAAACACATATCCTGAGCCGAAAAACCAAGAAAGCAAACTCGATTCTCACCAATCCCCTTACAAGCAGTGATCTCTGCTCTGCCAGCATTCGATCCGCCACTGCCTCCACAGCCCGGTTTCGAGGGCGTGCCTCCTCCTCCTGCGGCGGCACTGACGTGCCTGATGACGTCTTATTGTTGTGGCGGGTAGACCACCATGTCGTGCTCCGTCGCCCTTCGCTGTCGTAAGGGCCGGTCGTAACCACCGAAGCTGTGGCCTGTGCATAATAGAATTCCACAGTCAGCCTGGCAAGCTTGCCCTTCAGGTACGCAATCTTTGTCTTCAGTCGCTCATTATCTTGGAGAAGTCGCTTCCTCTCTTCGGCCTCTTCCAGCCTTGCGTTGTGCATAACTTGGAGCTGGTTCTGCAGGCTGACGATCTGAAAAGAGTGCTTCTTGACTCTGCCTTCAGTTTGCTGTATGTGTGACGGTGGTCAGGCGTCATCCGCGGAGAGTATGTAGATTGGGAGAGGGAGGGGAACTTTACATCAAGAGCGGCCAGTAGTTGTTGCAACTGTCCATCGGGTGTGAGGGCCTCGTCAGACCCCATTTTGGCGGTTGTAGGCTATGTTTGTAAGTCTACACAGTATTCTTGTCTAGATAATGTTGGCGGAAGTGCAAAGTAGGATCCGTCAAACTTCTTCTGGGGAAATTCCAAACATTTAATGTAGCTCGAGTTGGGAGGGCAGGTGCAAGCCGGCAAGCACGCATGCTGCCAGCTGACAAGCACGGCATTCGAGGTTCGGGACCGGGCAAGGGCAAGGGTAAATAGATGTTGGTATTGAACGCCATTCAACGTAATACAAGAATAGGATGTGTGATTGGTATACTTGGAGCTTTAGATATATTATATTTTTTACTATATTATTAAATTAAATTATGGAAAAAATATATATATAAAAAAGGTAAATAAAAGGTATCTGGTATGTAGTACTATATTTGAACTATACTATGTTATAACCCTCCGCAACGAGGATGAACTAGCTCACAGTGTGCATATTTTAGCGTTCATTAGTTGAATATATAGCCGTTTTATCAGATTGAATATTAATTATTTACTACTTAATGAACTACCATATTTGTAAGGACTCTGCTCACGAATACGCCGATACGTCGAAGTATAATCTGAGAGGCGCAAAACGTATTTGACCAGAAAAAATCCAGAATTTACCATGCTACAATGTACTGAATCAATTTTGGGTCAAGTACTCTTTTGCTTTTCCTCTGCACTTGAGTAGCCTTCCCAATTGGATATATTTTGTGGGAGTGTATCAAAATGACGAATTGGAGACTGCAGCACTCATGATGGCAGACCTGTACGAAGTACGACGCCAAGAGTTGCGGCGTCCATTCCAGGATCTAGGTGCAGCCATTCCCCTCCCCTCCTCACGTCTCATCAAGAACCCAAGTCTGACAACAGCCGCGGCTTTTTTTTTTCCCATCATAAAAACTCATTAAAAAGTATCCAGTCATCACAGTCGACCATGAAGCTCGCTTTGTTCAGCACCAAGCCATACGACAAAAAGTTCTTCGACGCCGCCCGCGAGGCGAGACAGCAGACCAACATCGAGGTCACCTATCATGAGGCATCCCTCAACGACGACACAGTCGCTTTGGCTGAAGGGGCCGACGCCGTATGTGTGTTTGTTAACGACTCAGTGGGCAGCACCGTCATCGATCAGCTGGCCAGTCATGGAATCAAGGCGATTCTTTTGCGATGCGCCGGCTTCAACAACGTGGACCTCGCGGCCGCCGAGAAGCACGGCATCGCCGTCGCCAACGTGCCGTCATATTCGCCAGAGGCCGTTGCCGAATTTGCAGTCGCCCTCATGCAAACCTTGAACCGCAACACTCACCGGGCATACAACCGCGTTCGAGAAGGCAACTTTGCTCTCGACGGACTGCTGGGCCGTACGCTCCACGGCAAGACGGTGGGCATTGTGGGAACAGGCAAGATTGGCATCGCCACGGCTCGTATTATGAAGGGGTTCGGTTGCAGAGTCATTGCCTACGATCCATTTCCATCCCCAGCGTTCAAGGAAATCGGCGAATACAAGACTCTTGACGAGCTGCTGCCGGAATGCGACATTATTAGCCTGCATTGCCCGTTGACGGAGTCTACCCGCCATATTGCCAATGAGGAGAATCTCAGCAAGATGAAGGACGGGGCGATGCTGGTGAATACGTCTAGAGGCGGTCTCATCGACACGACATCAGTCATCAAGGCCCTGAAGAACAAACGTCTCGGAGGCCTGGCCCTGGACGTGTACGAGGGCGAAGGGTCGCTCTTTTACAGCGACCACTCGGGGGAGATTATAGACGACGACGTCTTGATGCGGCTGACCACATTCCACAACGTATTGGTGTGTGGGCACCAGGCCTTCTTCACCGTTGAAGCGTTGACGGAGATTGCGGACTGCACGTTTCGAAATATTGAAGAGATTGTCAGAGATGGAACTTGTAGGAACTTGCTGACCAAGAGATTGGAATTAAACAGTTCCCCGTCTCTACCAGTCAGAAATGTGTAGTTTGAATGATTATCGTTATTAAGAAAATTCTAGCTAGGGCCTCCAGTCTATAGCAACCATGGCTCTTAATTTCTACAAAGAAAAAGAAGAAGAAAGAAAAGAACTTTGCTCAATGCGCTTCCTTTCTCAAGGATTGCTGACATAACTCCTGGCTCTTCTCAAATCGGCGTCATGCTCCAAATCATCCCGCACAAGACCCTGGCCCCCATTCGCATCGCCTTTCCTCGCCTTCTCGACATCATCCACCCCAGAGCCCTCGGCACTGTCCCCTCCATACGCATACTTGCTTCTCGCACGGATTCTAGCACCATATTTCCAGAACAGGAACGGAATAGCACAGCAGGCCAAGCTGATGAAGGCGAGCAGCGACGAGGCCCACTGATCGCCCAGCCGATCGTACATCTGCTCCGTAAACAGTACCACGCCAGCGCCCCAAAAGCTCCTGATGAACGTCTTGGCCGCCAGAGCCGAGGCAGCCTGGTGCTGATACGAATCCACGAGGTAATTGTTGGCCGAGTTGTACAGGAAAATGAAGCCAAAGCCGACTGGGAATCCGCCCATGGCCGGCCCAGCCCAAGACAACTGCGGATACGACGACCACGCAAAGATGAAGAGACCCACGGGTATGAACCAGCACGAAGCCATCATGGGGATCAGGCGCACCTCGGCCGGAGGGTGGCCGTTGTGCCGCCTCACAAGCGACATGTAGTGCTTGTTGACGAGCGGCGAGAGAAACGCAGAGCCAAGCACGCCCACCGCCACGGGGATGAACATCAGCCCCGTCTTGCCCGCAGAGTACCCCTTGCCCTTTTGGTATATGATTGGGAATGCGACGAAGAACATGTACAAGAGACCGTAGAGGACGCTCATGTACAGCGAGATGAGGAAGACGATGAGCTCCTGGAAGAGCAGCTGGAAAGGGCGGAACAGAAAGATGCGCAGGCGCTCCGCCATGGGCCGCAGGTCTAGGTCCTGCTCGGTGACGTGGGAGTCGTCGCCAGTGGAGGCGCGGAGCTTCCGGGCGCGGCGGTCGAGGATCGTCGGCGCGTACGTCTCGGGCACGGTGAAGGTGATGAGGAACCAGACCACGCCGGCGAAGATGAGCTGGATCCAGTAGAGCCACCGCCAGCCGGCGGCATCGGAGAGGTAGCCGCCGATGAGAGGACCGACTGACAAGAGAATGGGTTAGCACGTCTTGGTCCTTGTGGTGACATGATGGCAGGGAAACGTACTCGCAGGACCGATAAAAGGAGCCGCCGAAAACGCCGCCATGGGCACGCCGCGCTCTTCGTTCTTCCATAAATCCGCCAGCGTCCCACCTACAAGCGTCATTGGCGCAGAAAAGGCAATGCCGTCAATGGCTCGGCAGACGAGCAGCGTGGCCATGTTCTTGGACACGGCGCACGGGATGATGAAGACGACGGCAATGAGCAGTGTAGATCCGCTATCAGCAAAGAACAAACGGTCAGCGTCTGCCATCACATATCTCCAAGATGAAATACTGAAAACAGAAAGAAATAGAGAGAAGAGGAGAAAAGGGGAGACGACTTACTATATGATCCTCCGGCCGTAAATCTCGCTCAGCGGCGCAAACACCATGGGCCCAACACCAAAGCCCACCACAAACAGCGTGATACTCAGCAGGGCCACCTCCTCGCTCGTGCCAAACTCCTCCGCCACGCCGCTAATGTTGGCCGTCACCACAGACGACGCCATCGCCACGACGAAGCACGTCAGCGCCACCACCATGGTGCAGTACCACTTGAACGCCTTGCTCCAGTTCTTGGGGTTCCCCGGGTCGTCGGGCGTGAACGCGACGAGCTTGTGCGTCTGGTCGAGCGGGATCTCGCCCGTGCGAGAAGGAACCGTGTACTCGTCCATGCGGGCGCCAGAGGTGAGCGTCCGGTAGGGCAAGTTGACGTCGAGATTAGGGTCGAGGGCTTCCTTTTGAGGAGCATGAGCCCTGTGAGATGGTCTCCTCGAAGAAGACGAGCATCGTGTGGACGAAGAGGTGTCCACGGTGACTGCGTGTTGGGAAGCATCCGCCTCGGAGGGGGCATCTTGTGCCTCCATGGTCGTCTTCAAGAGGAAAAGAGGGATCGTCGTCCAAGGAGAACACCAATGTTGAAGCAAAAAAGACACTGCGGGCCAAGGCAAGGAGCAGTTTTGAAAAAAACGACGACTATACGCAGCTATATATAATATGTCAACCAGGGTGTGTCCGCCCAGAAACCTCTTTTCATGGCTTTCCTCGGAAACCCTCTAGCCAATCCCATCACACCATTTCACGTCAACACATAGCCGAACCCGTGTACCGCGAACGGTTATCGCGGACAAGCCGCGTCGGGAAGAAAGTGAACTAGCAGCCATCCCCACAAGGCATAAAAAGAGCGTCAAAATACTGGATCCCTGTGAGCTTTCAGGCACGGTGCCACGCCAGGTAAGGATTGGGCGCCAAGGTGGCGCATGGCCAAAGTCCGCGGAAAATCTTGCCCCCCCACCGACGGAGCGAGCAAACGAGTAACCATCGTCGGATTCGATCCACTCTTGGGCCCATGATGTTGTACATACTAGTTACTAGTACTAGCTCATGCTGTCGAGGAAATAAGCTCGGATATTAGGGACGAAGCCGTGGACGATTGCGAAGCCGAGAATGGGTCCCATGCTTAGAAACGACAAAAGCACAAAACCCAAGAGATATCAAGTTACGATAAAATCTGGCGGCAAAGAATATTTGACCCAATTGCTATTCTCTATATATATGTTAACTTGTTGTCCTTTTTCTAATTTCCTATGCCTTACTTCGTCTGCTCTCCCTGTACTTCGGACCCCGGTCTGACATGGTGAATTCTTCTGGGACTCCACCCGGCGCCGATGTGGGCCCGGCCCTCGGTCGGCCAGGGTGTACCTAGGAATTCCTCTTTGCAAAATTTGGTTCCCAGCGCCGGCATCGGTCATGATAACAGATGAAGCGCGGTCTAGGGTTCATTCGGATTCCAGCTTGGCGCCCGGTTTCCTCCATCTAGACCCTCAAGCCGGTCGTTGAGTCAACGGCAGTGGAGCCTTGACGGCCCGTGTACTCCGTAACGTCTTGATAGTTTGAAGTCGCAAAGGTTGCCGGCTCGCGCTCCCATTGGCCTGCTCGCATAAGATTGAGTTTCTGCCCAGAATGTCAAACCCCACAACTCCCTATGCAAGCCCTAACATGAGCCTCTTATCGTAATTGCACGTCAAGCCTTATGATGCCATTAACTCCCTCAATCAAGTCCACCGATGTCGTGCCGCTCATCCTGTCGCTGCCTCTGGCTCTGGTGTACCAGCCTGCTCGCTCAAATGCAGACCGTCTCTCCACGAAGTTCGTGCCCACGGTGCCGTCAAAAGGATTAACAATACCGCCAATATCCGGCGTTTTCGTCACGCTGGGGCTTTCGCCATACCCCGTGACGCTATCGCCATGGTGATCAACCAGACGCACGCCTCCGTCCAACTGGACAGCTGTCCTTGTAAGCGGCTCAAACCGTCCCGAGTCCACCGCCCATGCCTTTGCCCACCCGGAAGAGCTAAACGCCTAAACAACCAACTCCGGCGAGGAATCTAGGGAAATCTCAGTCAGGTCGTCATATGTTGTAATCGTCTGTCCCCGGATTTCGAGGGGATATGATGGGATGTCCCGGAATGCATCGCGGAACACGTCTATCTCCCCGTAACTCTCCTCAGCTTGCCAGGGCTCCGAATTATTTTGTCTCCGAACCCTCTCATCACTGAAAATGTTCGTATTCAAGTGACGCATCGTGCCACCATAAGAAAGATCATGGAACAGGTCTGGCGGAACAGTGAAGAACACAATCATTTGCTTGTTGAAGACGGTGTCTGTGGCGTTCGGCGGTGACTCTGCCGCAAAGGAAGCTACAACTCGGACACCATGTCTTGTGTCTGATGCGGCCGCATATAGTATTGGTATTGCAGAAAAAGCTGCTCCGGGGGGCCGAAACCACAATTTCCGAAGGAGACGTGTAACAGACCCAATCGGGGCGTCAGTTCCCAGGCAAAGGCAACCTGTCCGAGGGTCAGTGAACAGGATGTGATATCCATCGCTGAGAGGCACAGCACGGTAATGGTCTGCACTCCTTGCCGATACAGTCCGTATAGCCCCACTGTCTGATACCTGGCCGTCTCGAAATGCTCTCGATCTCATGCACATGGGCCTCGTGGGTTCGCCCGATCTTGTAGCCATGGCTTGGTGGCTGTCCAATCTTGTAACTCCAGTGCTCCAAAGTGACGCCAAGTGTGTTCTTTCTGCTCCCATGATCGTAGTACAAAGTTCATTCTCCGAATCCATCAAGGGATCAAGCGGGTTCAATAAGCCAGCTGCAGAGCTGATTAGGCGAAGCTTTTGGGCCGTATCAGTCCCTCGCCGCGCCGGTAGAAAGTACAAGAAGTCGCTTGGAGACGACAGTGGAAACCACCTGCTAAGATCTTGACCTGTCAAAGCATCCACCTAGTGTAGCTCGATTCCGGCCGCGCATCCAAAGGCCACGCAGTCTCGCTGCGGACAAATTGCAACCGACCGTGGTGGATCATCAGCCGTGCAGATGTTTCTATATACGGATCTCTCCCCAACTTCCACAGCAGGCGGTTCTTGGGGTGACCTTTCATAGCAAACGCAATGTTTGGCTGATCCTGTCAGTGAATTTTCTCTTGGAGTTGGCACAGAGCCCGATCCCGACAGCCCAGCCGTGCACGAGGCAATGGGCGACAACCTCGAAGTAAGTTGCTCGTGCTTTGCAATTTCACAAACCATACCAACACGCCCTTCCATTAGAAATGCCACCGAATGTCTCCCTGATGAGGTATCCATGCTGGAACACAGAATCCGGCGAGGGCAAATAATGCTTGCAACGGGGCGCATGAAACCCAGAGGCATGCCTTGTCTACGTCTCAAGGGCACCGACCAAGCCGAAAGCCCAGGCTGACAAACGTGATTCAGTTCGTATATATAGGCCAGTTGATCTAGAGTCGCAATCAGATAGCGCCCGCAGAGACTGGCTGTAAATGATACGTCTCCGTGCAGCTGACTCTTCCGGCGTCCAATCGGTAGTTGTCGAAAGTCGGTTTCTCCCACTTGAGCGAATGTCCTCCCATTTGGGTTGGCGAGATTACACTCCCTTGAAATCCACTTACTCATTATCCGTTCCTGGCTTGTCCCAGGCGATCTTGCCAATCCCATTGGCGTGATGATGCGCAGCATGCTGCTCCACCATCCCCCTTGCTTGAGCATCTGCACGAGCAGTGTGCCATGCAAGCTTGCAGAAAACCAAGACCGGCACGTGTGACGGGCAGCATTGAAATCTGTAGTCGAAAGAAAAGAATAGATGTATTGCAGTATTTCTGTGGGGACATTCATTGAACTTGGTTTGTCTGTCCAATAAGCGCGCTGCATTAGCAGAAAGTTCGACGCCTTTGCCTCTTGGACTTTGCGAACATACCTTCCGTTTCGGCATAATCGCGCATGTAGCCAGCTCCTCGGGCTGTCTCTGCTTGATTCGACTGCCCTGGGGAAGCTCGGATACTACGGTCGTCCAGAGGCATGCGGGTCGCAACAACCATCGTACCAAGAGACTGATCTAGTGACCGGGTGTCGGTTAATGACGCTCTTCGAGACGCCTTTGCGGAGTAGAATCCAGCTACTCCTCGTGAGACGAATATCTGTGACGACGTCTTGTTGGTATGTTTGGTCTTATTGTCACAATCGACCTGCTGTTACGTATCTAGGTAGTAGGAGGCGTTAGGAGAAAGTAGTAGATATTTTAGGACATGGGCAAAGTTAGGTGATGATGTGAATAAGAGATGATGTACCGAGTATTCGCAGCCTCCTTGGTATTTGTGTGTTAACTTGGAGGTGATTGACTCGCACCTTCCTGACGGAATAAATCATGCACCCAGAGGCACTTAACAAACCAACTTTCACGTCTGACCCTTTACAAGCTCACCCTGGCATCCTCATCGTTTCCTCATAATTGATCTAATTACCACAACTAGAGTCTTGAAGAGCCAGCTAACAAGATAGGTATTACTAACACGGGTTCCCACGTAAACCACCAGTCCACCCATCATGTGTCTGATAATTCGTCCTCATTATGTCATCACTCCTATCCACGTATAACCCAGCAGCCAAAAAATGCATCACCAAAAGTCCAAGTTCCAACAAGTCATAAACAGCAAACACCTCTGGAGCACTCAAGATGTTTGTGTGCTGTCTATCCATACATTATCCTCTCCAATACCCAACGAGCTGTCTGCATTCGGTAGGATCAGACCAGGACGGCCTTGGGACGAACGATCGCCCTCCGTGGTGGCCTCATCGTCGGCTAGCGGCGGTGGATCACGGTAGATCCATGGAAGTTGTAAGCTGTGCCTGTGTTAGTGCAAAAATTTTCCCGGGGGGGGTGCCCTCATGCCACTCACGGAGTAACTAAGCTTGGGTTGACAAACGTCAAGCCTCTCTCTTTGAACTCGTCTAGAGTGCTTCCCCTTCTCAGGATTTGACGCTGAAAATGTGGAACATCATCATCCGAGGCCTCTTCTTCTACAGCTCGTTCGCCCTCGCCGTTTTGCTCTCGCCCATTTCGAATCGCTCTTAGCGCAATCACTCTTGTAAGAGGCTCAAATCGTCGGGTAAAGTAGTAGCTATACCAGACCGTAAATGGAATAAGTGGCAAGACTGCAACAGACTGCACAAATGCCCTAGAAGAGGCTATTTGCCCCACCATGACTGTCTCGAAAACCAGAAGGCCAATGACTATGCGATGGCAGATTATACGCCACGCACCGCCCGTAGCATGTTGGGGTTGATCCATAGCATACAGCAGCATATACTTGAATGTAAAGTATCCCAGCCCAAAGTAGATTATGCCGAAGATGAGAATTATTTCTCCGTTTAGCAAAACACTGTAGATGATGCACAGGTTGAACACAAGCAGCGCAGTCGGTAGATAAAAGCCGTACTGAAAGGTTGGGGGCTTCTGTAATTCGGCAAAATCGCGGGGCGTGGAGGAGAGCCACCGAGAGATCGG